CTGCAGCTGCCAACAATGAAAATGCTGTATTGTGTTAAAATGACGTCTTTCTCGTGTTATTGCTTTGCAGAGCAGCTGAGAGTGGACAGAGCTGCACAGAGGACCAAAGATCCACTCTGAGCACTTCATACCTGACTGGCCACAGCACCACCCCTCCTCACCCAGGGTGCTGACCCCGTCTGCACAGAGGGAGTTGTGAACATGCACTTCTGTGTCGGTTGGTTTAGGATCCTCCTCACACTCACACTGATGAAGACTGTCACTGGAAGATGTCTCCATTGCATCAGCAGGAAGCATTTGTATTAGAGATGGACCGATCCGATATTACGTATCGGTATCGGTCCGATACTGACCTAAATTACTGGATCGGATATCGGAGAAAAATAAAAAATGTAATCCGACCCATTAAATATCACAAAAGCACCTCACAAAACTTGCAACACGCCGTAACTCACCTCAGAACGTTAGCACGTCGTAGCAGTATGCATCACGCGATAGAGCAGTTGTGGCATGCGGGACCTGTTGGTGGTCTGGATAGCATTTGGAGCTTCGCTAGCAACCCGGCATTTCATCTCTGACAAAGTTATCCCGAGAGAAGTAAAGCAAGTGTGTAAGTCCATCTCTGAATGTTTGTAAAGCATTCCTGCCTTAAGCTTAACAAGCGACTGCCTCTTCTTGCTGCTACTTCAATCATGAAACTGCTTAATGATCAGCTGATCGGCTTTTCTGTCGCGAGTCCGTCTCTCTTGTTTGTTTTTGGCCCAGTTTGCACCAGAAAGAGGAAACCAGCGGCTGAAGAACAGCAGCACGTTTAAGCTTGATAAGCTGTTGTTAGAATTTATTTATTATTACTTTCTACACCAGGATCTTTTTCTACGTAGCTGACGCTGGTAACTGTGCAGGGGCGGATCTAGCAAAGTTTAGCCAGGGGGGCCGATAGGGCATGAACAGGGAAAAGGGGGCACAAAGACATACTTTTCTTTCTTATTCTCATTTAAAATGTCTAGCTTTTAATAAATAATTATCTGAATCTTACACCCAAAGTTTTAATTTGATGTAAAAGGAATAGAAGTCAATTACTGTACATAGTGACTATTAAGTCTAATATATATACCCTAGTAAGCTATAGTACTTTTTACTTTGGGAAGGTACCATCTGTGCAGTCTGCAATTTTGTTGAAGAAAGATGTTGAATCTATTTAATATTTCTTGAAAAATAATTTCACACTGCATCAACTTAAGGTTGATTACGTCGATTAAGCATCATGAGGTGGAGCGTGAGGGGTGGTTCCCTATTTTTTATTCATTTATTTTTGTTGTTGCTGGGAGTTGGAACCCTATTAGTTAGGTTGCTTAATATTTACGCTAAGTACTCTTTAAAATACCAGAATAGGGAGGATGGTGTAGGTTTAAGTTGATTAGATTGATCAGTATTGCTCAACTATGAAATATTTTTTTTGCATACAGGTATAACAGAATAGCTTTAGTGTAGTTGTTCTTTTAAACTTGAGTATGAACTTATACAAAATGCAGCAAGATATTTAAAAAAAACAGTTTTGTTGATTAAAAAACACTATATCGGATTCATATCGGTATCGGCAGATATCCAAATTTATGATATCGGTATCGGTATCGGACATAAAAAAGTGGTATCGTGCCATCTCTAATTTGTATAATATTACAGTTTGTGATGTTTTATACATGGTTTTATTGCTTCACTTCAAAGTAGGAGATATAAAATAAACCAGTTTTCATAATATTTTCTGTGTATTTAGTTGTTTTCTTAATAAGTTATTTAATGGGACATTTTTAGCTAATAACCAGACCTTCTGATACGGATGATATGCGAGTGCTGAAATCTGATAGTGTTTGTAATGTTCCTTTGTTCTCAGGAATGTGGCTTGGGTGGACTTGCATACACACTGAAAATGGTTTCAAGTTTTATTGTCATGTACAGATAAACAGTGTAGCCACATTTACCCATAATGAAATTCTTTGGCTCGTGCTCCTCTGCTTTACATGAGCATATAGAAAGTGTTAAATTAAGAAGAAATTAACAGGAAATATCATTAATAATAATGATAAAGAGAAAAAAGAGAGAAAAATAGTATAAAATATTTAGAGTATTTCAGACAAGTTGGTATTTACAGTTTGTGCAGATCTTGTGCAACGAGCATTTAAGTGGCATTAGTTGAAGTGACAGTGTGTAGAGTCCTGTAATTGTAGTGAGTGTGTAATGGTGTGTATAGAATGTCAGCAGTTCAAAAGCCTGATGGCTTGTGGGTAAAAGCTGTCTCTATGTCTGGTAGTGCGGGTCTGAATGCTCCTGAACTTCCTGCCAGACAGCAGGAATGTGAAAAGTCTGTGGCTGGGGTGGCTAGGATCAGAGAGGATCCGCTGTGTCTTCTTCATGCAGCGCAGTCTGTAGAGATCCTGCATGGCTGGCAGTTCAGTCCTGGTGATGCGCTGTGCTGATCTCACCACCCTCTGCAGAGCTTTGCGGTCCAGAGCATTACAGCTGCCGTACCAGGTGGTGATGCAGCCAGTCAGAATACTCTAAGGTGCTATTGAAGGTGAAGGTGGTATTGTACAGAGAGAACAAAGAGCTCACCTGAAAGTGCACAGATTATTGGCAGTAAGAAGGAGTAACTATAAATTACCATAAATTAACTTTGCACTTCATTTGTACAGTTCTATCACATGCACTTAACCAAGGAGCAACCGAGAGTATATAAAGGCTGCAGAATGTTCCATTTGTCTCTTTATACTTGACCTGTTTCTTCTCACTGACTATGAACTTTCTTGAAGATCAAATCCATCCGTTGGTATGAATCATCATCCTGTGCCAGCAGCACTGTAGATTTAAGTTTATTTGTAGTTATGTGAATGTAAATATGTTGGGTTTAAAAGGGCATTTTAACAACATACTACAGCTACCAACAATGGAAATGCTGTTTTTGTATTAAAATGGCGACTTTCTTGTGTTATTGCTTTGCAGGGCAGTGTCTTTAGCAATCCTGGAACAGCTGAGAGTGGACAGAGCTGCACAGAGGACCAAAGATCCACTCTCAGCACTTGATATCTGACCAGCCCCTGCACCACCCTGCTTCAGCTAACTTCTCATCTTTTTAAGATTAGGCTTAAAACTTTCCTTTTTGCTAAAGCATATAGTTAGGGCTTGTTACGGTCGCTGACCTCTAGTGGCTCTCCCTCTGTGGAAGAGTTTTTTTTCTCCTTTTTCTTGTGTTGCAGGTCTGCCTCATGAGCCACAGCTGAGGTGTGTTCCAGCTCGTCAGCCACGGCATATAGTCTGCCATCCTAAACTGCCACACCGCTGCCACTTCCCCCATTTTTGCCAGAGCTGTGAGCTATAGTGTTTTGGGCAGCAGGCCTGAGTGAGTGAGTGAGTGAGTGAGTGTGAGCAAGAGAGAGAGAGAGACACCTTAAACTCCGTGAAACTTTGGTTTTCTTTCTTTTATTGTAAGCAAAGGTGTGCCCTTACTGTGTTAATTAGTTCATCGTTGTGGAAGCAGGTAGGGGTTCTCTGCCATTTTTGTTTCAACTGTTTTCTCCTGTTTTGGTTAGACAGGGAGCTCAGCCATTGTATTTTGTTTTGGTTAGAGAGTACTTGGTTTGATTTTTAGCTAAAGGGGGTGTTTTGTTTGTTGTTTTGGCCTTGGAGACCCTGAAGAAGAGAGCTTCCCTGTGTTTATTTTTACTGTAGTAGTTTCGGGCAATAAATCATGTTTAATGACATCTATTCTCCAGTAGTTCATGTTTTCTCTTTCACTTTGTGTTACCCCTCACTCCAGTCAACACTTCGTTTTTAAGTGGGGCGTAACAGGGCTGGACCAGGTGATGCTGAAGCCACCCTTAGTTATGCTGCAATAGACGTAGGCTGCCGGGGATTCCCATGATGCATTGAGTTTTTCCTTTCCAGTCACCAGTTTCTCACTCACTATGTGTTAATAAACCTCTCTGCATTGAATCATATCTGTTATTAATCTGTCTCTCTTCCACAGCATGTCTTTATCCTGTCTTCCTTCTCTCACCCCAACCGGTCGCAGCAGATGGCCCCGCCCCTCCCTGAGCCTGGTTCTGCTGGAGTTTTCTTCTTGTTCAAAGGGAGTTTTTCCTTCCCACTGTCGCCAAAGTGCTTGCTCATAGGGGGTCATATGATTGTTGAGTCTTTCTCGGTATCTATTATTGTATGATCTACTGTACAATACAAAGCGCCTTGAGGTGACTGCTGTTGTGATTTGGAGCTATATAAATAAAATTGAATTGAATTCTCAATATGTGAAAATTTGGTTTCAAGTAAAGGTCAAGCCATTTTATTAGGGAAGAAAATCATAAAATATAGAGTTTATTGCACATCAACAAGGGAAAAAAATACAAGAAACATCTGAAATAAATCATTTTAACAAGTAATATCAATCCTTTCACTATTAAGAAAAACTCACTGCATGTTTAGACCCTGATCGATCAGTTTTTTTGTGAGCTGAGTGAAAGGAATAAACTCATTTGGTAAGACAACATATATAATATAAGTAACATAAACAATAACAGTAACAGAAGCACAGCGGGTAGACATACATAAGGATGCTCATTTTACAGACTTCATGATACAGGCCTACAGCTTGTGGAATAGTGCACTCCATGTTAAAAAAAATGTAAATATTTTCTAATAGCTCTGTGAATGATATATATACACATTTATTTATCTGTACATGTGAGGTTGTGTTGCATTCTGAGGTTCTTCCATAGTTTGGTTTGAAGGCCCTACACAGTGTCTGGTCAGGTGATCATAATCCTCTGCAAAAGTGCCTTTTAAAAAGAAAACAACCCTCTAAGTCAGGGGTGGGGAACTCCAGGCCTCAAGGGCCAGTGTCCTGTAGGTTTTAGATCTCACCCTGGGTCCACAAACCTGAATCAAATGATTATCATTAACAGGCCTCTGGAGAACTTCAAGACATGTTGAGGACATAATTTAGCCATTTAAATCAGCTGTTGGATCAAGAACACATCTAAAACCTACAGGACACCACCCATTGAAGCCTGGAGTTCCCCCACCCCTGCCAAGTCAAGAAAGGCAGTGGCTATAGTATGGTGTCCATTCAGATGGAAGACATGATCTTCTTTATGTCACCCCACAGTTTTAAAATCACAAAGTATTTTTTTTCACGGAATGGCTCTCTTCCACAGTTTTTTCTTTTTGTTCCGTCATCCTCCCCTCACCCCGAACCAACTCAAGGGTTTGCATGATGGATATTTCTTCCTGTTAAAAGGGAGTTTTTCCTTCTCACTGTCACCATTTGATTGTTGGGTTTTCTCTGTATTAACGTGGGGTGTTAACTTACAGTACAAAGTACCTTGAGCCGAATGTTGTTGTGATTTGGCGCTACATCAATAAAAATGAATGAGATCGGCATGTATGTGATTTGATAGAATCTGAGTTGCTTAGATAAAAGTTATAATCATAGACTTAGAAGCAATCAAAGTGCTGCAATGATAGCAAGTGTTGTTCTGTGCAAATGTTTGAGGCACTTGGATCTTTTGATTGTTTTCCATCGCACTGTACCACAAGGAAAGGCTCATGATTAGTCCCAGTTTTCCTCTGGAGCACATCACTGACCCTAAATATTTGACAAAAGTCATAAAGAGCTGTCTCCAGCAGCAAGATAAACAGCCAGTATGGTTTCCACAGAGTCTTAATGTCAACATAACAGAATCATTCAAGGATGATAAGACAGAACTCAGGCTAAACAAACAAGAAGTGGGACAACCTGCCCGTTGAGTACCTTAAGAAATTGTACGTCCATATTTATTGTGCTACAACTTTTCCCAACAGAATTCTGTAAGCATTTTTTTAACATATTAAACTATTCCTTCATTTAATTTAAGATTAATGCAAAACAATGTTTAATTTATCTGAAGCTGAGGTCACTTCTGCAGGTTTAAATGAAAAAATGCCCAGAGGTTTCCCATGTCACATTAGTATAACTGATAATGGAAAAAAATAACCTTTGACTCCTATAAATGTACAACCCTATGAAAATAACATCAAACACAAAGGGAGGAGAAACCAATGAATATTTCTCTGTTGCTGATTTAGAATCTGTGGGAAACACTGTCGCACATGTTTCCAGTCAAATGATTTCTACAAACACGCTGAAGTGTATGGTTCTTCTTTTTATACTCCATTGCTCAGTAAATCTGTGAATATGGCTTTTTCCCAGTAAACATCTGTCACAGAGGCAAAAACACAAAAAATGTTCAAAAAGATTACAAAATATGAGCATATTTATAATTGTATGTTAACTCATAGTAACTCATCCATGTCTTACTGGAACACAAATACCACCTGATATTACAACAAGGTCAGCACACTGTAAAAGTTATTTTAACCCCATATTTAAATTAAATTTTAAAAAAGTAAACATTCCTGTTAAAACTAATAAATTTTTGTAATTAAAAGTAAAAAGAAAATGTAAAAAAAAATAGTCCTTTTAAATTTGATGCCAGCAACACAAAGTCAAGACTGAGGAATATTTATCACGGTTTTCCAGACCTGTTGCTCTATAATCAAATATTCTCTCATGTTCAACAGTGCTCATGTGGTCTGGCAGTGTCTTATTTAAAGGTAGAGTGTGTAAAATCTCACCACCAGATGTCAGTAAATTGCAGTCAACTGAGCTCTGATTACTTATCATCTCAATTCAAGTGTAATAATTCCAGCTACGGTGCCTGCTGGTGGACAAACACTTTTCACTTAGCAATAAATCGGGAATTAAACAATGAATATGTGTTTTGCAGTTTTGCAGTACTTTTTTTGACACACGAATCACCTCTGACCACAGCCGTTCGACATTTAGCTATCAATATGCTGTTTGCTCTGGTAGATGCTGTAAAATTTAGTGAAAGGACTACGATTCGAGCCGATAAGTCAGTGAAGCGAACCTCAGTGAGCTGCTGATAAGCACCGCTGTTTTTACCGTTGTTAGCTGCTGTTAGCTGGCATTATGTTGGACTTTGACACCTAGCAAGTAAACTCTGATACAATGGGATACTCTGAAACAAAGTGTTTATCACAGGGAAAGTGACAAACACTTTCCTAACATTAGCTGGCCTAATGTTAACTTGTAAATGGCAGTTGTTGTTTAGCTGGCTTGTTGGTAACAATAAGTAATTGTGACAATATCGTAAATTAGCATGATTATGCACATTAGAAGTTCTAATTTAGAACCCTAACTTCAGTTCAGGAGATGAGGTTAAGGTAAGAAGGAACAGGATAAGCTAGAAATGAGTGAGGAGAGGTAAAGAAAAAGACAAAATGATAAAAATGTACATGTTCAAATGTTAAATAGTCAGATATAGTTTGAAGGAACTGTAAAATACAAAGTTGTAAGGTGTATTATGTATTTGGCCGGTCTATAGTCATGTACATGAAACACAATTAGGTGGAACGGTGATGTCCAACTCAGCTACTGTACTGTAGATGGTGGGCAACATGGTGCCTTCCACAAACCCACGCATCCTCCTATGTATTTTTAATGGATTCATTTAAAGTTTATAAGAATGCATCAATTTGTTGGGTGGCATAATTACTGACTGATCTATGTATATTTTTGAGTACACTATTTTTCTAATAAATAACATTAAAAACCCACTTACTGTACCTTTAAATAAGCACAGACCTCCCTGAAAATACTGGCTTTGAAAGCATGTGTTGCCCCCAAACTTGCATGTATCAGCCAACAATAATGGTGCTTTCACAGATGTGGAAATCACCCATGATAATGGCTTATTATGGACCAGAAATTCTTTCCCATTTCTGAGAAACTGTTTTCTTGTTTAAATATTTGCTCAAACAGTCTTTCACAATGTGATGAACCCCTGGTCTATGGCCTGTTACCAGTTAGTTAATTAGCTGTGGGAACCAAGTGATTTTCAGCACTACACAACTTTTGCAGTCTTTTAAAGCTAGCATAAAATCCAACTTGAGGGTATATTTTCAATTTGCTGAAAGCATCAGTTTATATATATGTATATGTGTATATTTATTAACCTGTGTGTATCTGGTTTAAATGATGACACATGGGCTTTTATGTAATAAAGTACACTGTAAAAAACATGCATGCTGTTAAAAAAATTATGCAATTCTGCCACTCAACCCGGCAGTTATCAAAGAGAATATTACAGTCAAAGAGAATTACACAGAAAAGTGCCATTTCCTCACCACTCACTCATATCGATTGGCAGAGCGAACAGCCCTTTCCTCCAGAAGATAAATGAGACGTCCTGGAAAAACATGGGGGCATAGTTAGCTTCCCTCATGAGGGCAGATGACAAGAGTTGAGTCCAGATCCAAACGGAAGGCGGGGTATAGCGGCTGAGAGAACGAATAATGGAAAGTGTGCAGGAGCACCATGGAGTCCGAGATGCTGTAAAAGGACAAAGCTCCTTTCTGGCGCTCCAGAAACACGCCGATCCTGGGGGAGGGCGGTGCAGCGACCGTGGTCTTGCGGTTATCGTGCCATGCAGCATATCCAGCATGACTACACCTCAGCCGCCAAGAGTGCTCGTTGCGCCCAAGCAGGCAGGGCTTCCCGCCACCTTTGCGCCCGATCCCACGGTAGGTGACGCCTATGTCAATCCACCCACCTCCTCTCCACTCAACCTCCCAGTAGCTGGCACCACCAAACTGGCCCTCCCTGCACAGGACTTGCGCCACTGAGTCAAAGCGCTGTGGATGAGGCTGGTAGGGCTGTGGCTCCTCGCCACAATGAGCACCCTGGGGCCCCTCCAGGAGAACCAAGGTAGGATGAGCTGTCTCGGGGTCAAAGGTCAGATGGCACGAAACTAGAGCAAGGAAACAGAAAGAAAAAAAAACTAACAGTTAAACACCAAAAAGGCTCTGAATGAAACAGTTGGATTGCAAATGACATTTAGCAATGTCATTTGCAATCCAAGATTTATGACTAAATCCTTAGTCATAAATCACTAAGGATTTATGACTGAAATGTTACAACTCGTCAGGTGGCCATAACACTACAGAACACTTTTCTGTTAAGCAGAGGAGTGGGTGTTTGAGGGTAACTGATGCATAAAACTTTAAATTCTGAAACGTGAAGACAATTTAAACGTTCTATAGAAGTCTGGAAGTAAAGGTGTCTCAGGTCTGACCTTTGTAAACAACTTCCTGATGAGCAATTCATTTCAGTTTCATCTTAAAAATTTTGGGCATTCTGTTTATTAGAAAGGGAGATATTTTCATTAGCTAACAACCTGTGATTGACAAGTCCCTAGCCAATGAGAACAGTTTCACTGTAAGATCCATTGCTTGCTGATCAAATGTGTTTTCAAAACTCCAAGATGGTCATGATGCCATACCAACCAGCTGCATTCTAATTCTCCCCACTCTCCATTTGATTTTCCTCCTCTTATAAAGTCAGAATAAAGTTGGCATCAGGAGAAAACTTGCTATTATCCTCCTAATTTAGCAGAGAACTGAACCAGCTGTTGTCTACTCTGTCAGGTTGTAGAGGTTTTCCCACTGACGTTTAAGCCTTGCAGTATTTCAGTTGACTTTTTGGCACAGTGGACACAAACGACACACAGACACTGACCAAATGAATTATTAAACCCTGACAAGGTGCTGGTAATGCTGTCATTGTGTCAGCAGGCTCAGTCGTGTTGGAACATGGTGCTGATCTTAATGATAGACCAGGAAGTCATAAATACAGTATGATGTCCATCCATCATTAATGAGCATCTAGACTGAGGTTTCAGATTTCCCAGCAGGATTCTTATTATCTGGTCAAGTAGGAGGACGCAGAACAAGCAAAGACTGAGGGAAAAGAGGTGACAAAGCAGAGAAAGATGGGTAATGACAATTAGGGTGCTTGCTCTCAATGGTTGTACCAGGGACTAAAAAAGGCACTAAAAAAGGAAAAAAGCATGCTTCTGAGTCACACTTAAGGGAAAAAAGATGATATACTTACACCTGAGGAAAGCTGCCCTCATCCTCTGATCAGGCGCCTGCAGAGACAGAGACGACAGCGGGAACGACACTGGTGCTGCTTGAACGAGACAAAAAAACAGAAAAGTGCCTGCTGAACAAAACTGTATCAATAAAACATTTTTTATCTTCTTTTGCTTAAGCTGTAGAGGGATGATGAGCAAAATGTTGAATGAATTTTGAATAGCACGTTGGGAACACCACAAAAGTTTTCAAGTTAACAAATGGAAACATTTCTTTGTATTTTAAACCAGCTTAAACAGAAATAGGAAACATGTTTACATGCAGTTTAGTAACTTAGAGGCAGCGTTTTCATGCTGTTGGCCCTTTATCATGATGGCTGACCGTCGCTGTCCAAGGTTCAGCAGTACCAAGAGTGGGTGGCTTGGTTGGAAGGTAGTTATTGAACACATAACTTAACCTTTACTGGCATTTATTAAATTTGTAACGTGTTAATAATGAACACACCATGATTAGGTTGACTCTGGGACTCGCATTTTTGATTTCTGAACAAACAGAATCAGACTGTAACCATGTTAGAGGTTCTGTAAGGCGGTACAATCTAAGAATTTAATGAAAATCGAATTAAGCGTTGCAGGACGGTCTGCACTGCTAAACTCTATACACTACCTTGTACTTATTTAAACTTATGTAATGTTGTGCACTTTAAAAGCCCCTTTAAAAGTACCTTTCTAGTTTTATTGATTCCAAAAGCACAACACATTCACACAGCACTTATTGTACCCTTCAAGCAGGGTTCAAACAGCGCAATCCAACCTATCACCATGCCACCTCGTAGCATGGTGGTGGAATGGTAAGTCATTAAAATCCCCACTGTGATACATTTTCTTTTGTTATGAATCTCATGCAGACCTTCTCTGTAATGCAGTGACACTGGAGATAAGACTTGTAATGTCGCTTTTCTTGAATCATGATCTGGTTACTTGTCGGTAACTTACTGTTGTTGTCATGAGAGTAAGCCTCTTATCACACCTCAGTTCACAGGTACCTGGGCTATAATTGTATTTCTCTGATGCACTGAGTAAAACAAGACAAGTCCCTTGATATTCAAGAGGAGGCAACAGAAATCTCCCAAACTGGGGAGCGCACACCAAAGCAGTGAATTTCAGTTCAGTATTATTCATATAGCACCAATTCACAGCAACAGTCTCCTCCCCACAGTATTACAGAGAGAACCCCCCAATTAAGGCGATCCCCTATGAGGAAACGCTTGGCAACAATGGGAAAGAAAAACTCACTTTTAACAGAAAGAGACGTCCAACAGAACCAGGATCCGGGAGAGGCAGGATCTCATGTCATTTGGATATATCATATTTATTATATTAAATTATAGTCATGTGAAAAGAAACATTTCATATGACACTATGCAGCCTGGTGAAAAACTAAGTGCATGCTTATTGTTTCTATAGGGATGGTGAGTAGCAGCCAGGCGCTGCTAATCAAATCACTTGATTTGCTGATCATCAGCAAATGTGAGCAGATTTTAAAGGCATAGTTAGCATGTTAAAAGTTTATGACAGCACAATTAGAAAAAGTACTGAACAAGACTTTTTATTTGAAAAGGTTTTTGAGAGAAAACCTCTTTTCTCTGAAAAACATGGCAGCACAGTAAAGCTGCATTTGAACAAACTACAAGACTTGTGGATAGATGAGACCACACAGTTTGGCCAAAATGCACAGCACCACATTTGGAGGAAAAAGTCAGAGCATATGAGTACAAACACCCCACACTAACTGCCAGGCATGGGGGTGGAGGTGTGATGATTTGGGCTCATTTTGCAGCCACTGGACCCGAGCACCTCGCAGTCTCCACTTTATACCAAAGTAAACTGAAGTGATGTTCAGCAGCTTCAAAATAAAAGAATCAGGATGTTTTGATGGCCAAGTCGACCTGACTGAAATGCTGTGTAATGAACTGAAGCAACATTGTAAAGAAGAGTGAGCCAAAATTCCTCCAGAAAAATGTGAGAGACTGTTTTTGTACACGAAGTAAGTATTACTACATTACATTATATTACATTATCTTTTTGCCACTTACCCCTGGTTGCATGTTGCCCTGTAGACAGTTGCACTTGCTGAGGTTTGGAGTTCACCGCACTGTGAATTCGACCACCTCCCCAATACAACAGATATGAATGGTATGAATGATATTTGGTTTGAAATAATGTCACAACAAACAACATGCCACTCAGTCAAATTCACAAATTTGGAGAGTTTCCATTAAAAGAAAGAAAGAAAGAAAGAAAGAAAGAAAGAAAGAAAGAAAGAAAGAAACATCCCCTCTGAGCACATACAGGGAGTGCAGAATTATTAGGCAAGTTGTATTTTTGAGGAATAATTTTATTATTGAACAACAACCATGTTCTCAATGAACCCAAAAAATTCATTAATATCAAAGCTGAATGTTTTTGGAAGTAGTTTTTAGTTTTAGCTATTTTAGGGGGATATCTGTGTGTGCAGGTGACTATTACTGTGCATAATAATTAGGCAACTTAACAAAAAACAAATATATACCCATTTCAATTATTTATTTTTACCAGTGAAACCAATATAACATCTCCACATTCACAAATATACATTTCTGACATTCAAAAACAAAACAAAAACAAATCAGCGACCAATATAGCCACCTTTCTTTGCAAGGACACTCAAAAGCCTGCCATCCATGGATTCTGTCAGTGTTTTGATCTGTTCACCATCAACATTGCGTGCAGCAGCAACCACAGCCTCCCAGACACTGTTCAGAGAGGTGTACTGTTTTCCCTCCTTGTAAATCTCACATTTGATGATGGACCACAGGTTCTCAATGGGGTTCAGATCAGGTGAACAAGGTGGCCATGTCATTAGTTTTACTTCTTTTATACCCTTTCTTGCCAGCCTCGCTGTGGAGTACTTGGACGCGTGTGATGGAGCATTGTCCTGCATGAAAATCATGTTTTTCTTGAAGGATGCAGACTTCTTCCTGCACCACTGCTTGAAGAAGGTGTCTTCCAGAAACTGGCAGTAGGACTGGGAGTTGAGCTTGACTCCATCCTCAACCCGAAAAGGCCCCACAAGCTCATCTTTGATGATACCAGCCCAAGCCAGTACTCCACCTCCACCTTGCTGGCATCTGAGTCGGACTGGAGCTCTCTGCCCTTTACCAATCCAGTCACGGGCCCATCCATCTGACCCATCAAGACTCACTCTCATTTCATCAGTCCATAAAACCTTAGAAAAACCAGTCTTGAGATATTTCTTGGCCCAGTCTTGACGTTTCAGCTTGTGTGTCTTGTTCAGTGGTGGTCGTCTTTCAGCCTTTCTTACCTTGGCCATGTCTCTGAGTATTGCACACCTTGTGCTTTTGGGCACTCCAGTGATGTTGCAGCTCTGAAATATGGCCAAACTGGTGGCAAGTGGCATCTTGGCAGCTGCACGCTTGACTTTTCTCAGTTCATGGGCAGTTATTTTGCGCCTTGGTTTTTCCACACGCTTCTTGCGACCCTGTTGACTATTTTGAATGAAACGCTTGATTGTTCGATGATCACGCTTCAGAAGCTTTGCAATTTTCAGACTGCTGCATCCCTCTGCAAGATATCTCACTATTTTTGACTTTTCTGAGCCTGTCAAGTCCTTCTTTTGACCCATTTTGCCAAAGGAAAGGACAAAGGAGCTTGGAAAGAAAAGCGTCTGGACTTCTTTAAGTTGCTTGAAGACGTTTCACCTCTCATCCGAGAAGCTTCTTCAGTTCTAAGGTCAAATGGTGGAGAGTCCCAGATATAAACCCAGTGGGAGTGACCCCCCACAGAGGGACAAAAGGACCCCCTGATGATCCTCTAATCGCCTGAGCCAAGGTGTGAAACTGGGCGTGGGTCCCCATCAGCCAGAGTTTCGGGTGTGTTCATTGTGAAACCTGGCCCCACCTTATCATGTGAATTCCTGAGGTCAGATGGCCCAGGATGTGAGTGGGCGTTAAGGCGTCTGGGAAGGGATCTCAAAACTGGATTATAGATGGCAGAGAGTTGGTGTCGTAACCCCCCGCCTCTGTTCAAAGATGGTCGCTCACAGTGGACATAGATGGCTTCTTTCACTCCTCTTTCGAACCATCTGTCCTCTCTGTCCAAAATGTGAACATTGGCATCCTCGAAAGAGTGTCCTTTATCCTTAAGATGCAGATGGACTGCTGAGTCTTGTCCTGTGGAGGTGGCTCTTCTGTGTTGTGCCATGCGCTTGTGAAGTGGCTGTTTGGTCTCTCCAATGTAGAGGTCTGAGCATTCCTCGCTGCACTGTACAGCATACACCACATTGTTAAGTCTGTGTTTTGGCGTTTTGTCTTTCGGGTGAACCAGTTTCTGTCTGAGCGTGTTGCTGGGTCTGAAATACACTGGGATGTCATGCTTGGAGAAAACTCTCCTGAGTTTCTCTGATACACCGGCTACATAGGGGATGACAATGTTGTTGCATCTGTCCTTCTTATCCTCCCTCGCTGTCCTAAGAAGGACAGACGCAACAACATTGTCATCCCCATTGTCAAGCTCCTTTGACTACGATGACCTGGATGACTGAGAACCTTCACAGACAAAGGAAAGGACGTTGCCTAATAATTATGCACACCTGATATAGGGTGTTGATGTCATTAGACCACACCCCTTCTCATTACAGAGATGCACATCACCTAATATGCTTAATTGGTAGTAGGCTTTCGAGCCTATACAGCTTGGAGTAAGACAACATGCATGAAGAGGATGATTGTTTTTTTTGTACTTTTTATATTTTACATTTATATTTATTATTGAAACTTGCACCAAGGGAGTGGCACTCCAATTTTGTTGTACTCTGTACAATGACAATAAAGGCTATTCTATTCTATTCTATGTGGACAAAATACTCATTTGCCAAATTATTCTGCACTCCCTGTAAAACCCCCACAAAAAAACAATTTAACCTCCTAGGACCTGGCGTCCACATATGTTGACTACCCATTTTGGGTTGTCTAGACCAAAATACCAAATTTTGCTCCAGAAGGGCCTGATATCCACTGATAAGGACGTTACACTGCCACTGTTCTATCGAAATTTAATGTGAATGTCCTCATATGTGAATCTCATTTTTCTCAGAAACAAAAATAAGGTAAAAAAAAAAAAAAAAAAATCACGTAATTCTTTGTTTTTACATTCATCAGGTCCTAATCAGCCCAAATAGCAAAGAGAAATTAAAAATGCTGCCATGGAAGAGTTTGGGTCTTAGGAGGTTAAAAAAGCTCTTAGGAAAAAAATATAAAAAATGAATTAATAACAAATCTGCAGTTATGCCGGCAACTTTTTGAGGCTGCAGTTACAGCAGTGCTTTGAGAAAAATGCTATCAGCAACATGGTAACATGCAGTGTCCACTATCTCAGCGTGCTAACATGCTTATAAAAAAGTGAAAGGATGGGACGATAAAATGTCCGAAGTTTGTCCATAAACAGCTGCAACGTATTTAACACACTGAATTTTAATGTAATGGTTTTGCTGCAAGAAAACTGTTTCACACTTTTTACAGCAATGAAATATTTTCTATAATATGGAGACTACTGCAGAAAGTGCTCACACTGATGGATCCACACTACAATCCCTTAATCACATCATGTCTTAATTAGCTCCACTATCTTTGTGCTAACCCCCTAATATAATGTGGATGGTGCTGCTTCAAATGACACCAAAATGAACAGATTAGAATAGAGAGGAGCTCATCCTGGTCCTCTTCAGCATCAATGATTAACAATTCCACTCGGTGTTAAAGGTCATGGAAAACCTGGTAAAAACGGGTCACCCTGAGCTTTGACTGTGCATGTTTGTGTGTGTCGTGTTTGTTGTGCTTACTTTTTACATGCTCTCCACCAGATTTGTAGTTATCATTAACTGGAAGAGAAATAATAACAAAAATAATAATAATAATACAGTGCACATACAGCTCATATATGTATATGAATCCATAAATGGACTTGTGATATGATCCGAATATAGACCATGGGAAGGGATGGGAATCGAGAACCGGTTCTCTACAAAAACCGGTTCCCAGTAGGCCAGTTCCTTGGAATCTTCCTGCCTATCGATTCCTCTTGCACTCTTGCTACGACCAGCTGATTTCAGTTCGTGTGTCTTTGGCGTGGATATGGACATTACATTACAACTTTGGCTCTTAGCAAGCGCCTGCAAAGACAGAATGCCAACGCTAAGCTAACCAAGAGCCCAGATTGACGTTAAAGCTGAGTAAATGCTGACCAAGTCCAGCACTGTGCTAAAATGAGCCATCATTTGCTGTGAAGTCAGCCGCTGGTGAACTTCAACAGGTAACAAACTGATGAGCAGTCAGGCTGCAGCCCCTGTTTCTACCTGTCCACATTTCTAAAGTAGAACTCCTGTGTCGACCGCTCTAAAGTCTCTTTGTGTTGGTTTTCATCTTTGATTTGTGCTGTCAGCTCTGTGTTGACACCAAAATACTAAGAGTCACGTGTGTGCTCATCAGGACAGGGATCTGTGTTGGTGTGTGGGGCTGTAGGTTTATATTGTTGACAGTGTTTCAGGTCATTTTACAAAGTAACATGAAAGGAACGTAATGAGTAGTATAACAAATGTCTTTCTCCTGGGTGTAATTAAGTAACGTGCGTTGTTACTTTTTAGAAAATTGCTCTGTGTAATATCTGCAATAACTTTTTTTATTTACTTTTTTGAGTAATGACGCCAACACTGATCACAACAAAGAGGAGAAATACCTCCAACATGCACAAACATTTGACCACTCGGCATGCTATTAATTCCCATGAATATAATGGTAATGTGATATTCTCATTGAGAGCCATTGAGAATTGATAAGTCATATTGATAATGAATTGCTAAATTCTTATCAATTCCCATCCCTAACTGTGAGTCGGTGTTAGCATCTTTGAAGCTCATCCTGAGTCCAGGTGGTGCTACCTACCTGCGGGGGTGATCTTGTAGACCTCCTCCCTGCAGACCTCCTCTATGTGGCTACGGAGGTGGCCCAGTGCTCTCCTGGCACCACTGAAGGCCTCCGTGGGCAGGCTGAGGGTGCCGGAGTGCCGACCAGTGGCGAAAGGCATGCAGAGCAGCTGGGTGGCCTGAGCCGATGAGAAAAGAGTGGAAACTATACTCCAGGCGCTGCAGATTTGGCCCGCCTTCCCCCCCACCCTCCACCCTCAATTCCTCGTACAATTAAATTTGAAAATAACACTTAGGCAGTTGCCGTCTTTTTCCACTAGCCACTGCTGACTCATTCTCTCCTTTCATCCGTTCTTTCTGCTCATAACTCGTTCACACACTGACTGGATCTTTCTAAGTACCCACTCAGGTGAGTTCTTATGTCCTCCAGGATGCATTAACAGTAATGGGTGAGTATCCAATACAAGAGCTGCTAACGATTTGATTTTTCTGAGTGAGAACAATCGAGAGTAAAAGTGGGCAATGTGCAGGCGTCCTTTAAAGCACATCAGCAACCAATTCTGTTGTAATTGATGAGCCAATAACAGATAATCAATCAGCAGCCGTTTGGATAATTGATGATTTTCTGGAAACAATTGAGAACATCTGATAGCCCCAGTGTCTCAAATGTGAGAATGAAGTCTTTTCTTTCTTTTACTCTGAAGTTAGTTCAATATTTTATCAGTTTGTTCTCACCCGTCATGGAATTACAAAGTTCTACAACTTCACCAATAAACCAAACACTTGCACCTGCACGTTCATGATGCACATGGGATTGTGTCCAGTGACCTACAACGTCTGTTTCAGTTTGCTGTGAAGGACAGGTGATAAGCAAGGACTGTATTGGAGTTGCCAAAAACATGCATACAAGCATGTGAGGGCCTAACAAACTACTGAGTACTACTTTGAGTTGCTGCAATTAAATTTTATCAAAATGGACTAACCTACCTCATTATTTGTTCATTTTGATTTTTGATGTGTCTTTTCATTTCCTTTAAATGATGTGGCATCTTCTAATTCCTAACACATTATTGAATCCACATCAGTAAGAATATCCATCATGAGTTGCTTGCTTCACTGAAATCTGATTTTTTTTTTTTTTTAATTTTGGGAGCAGTGTATGCATCTTATATTAGGCCTTGGTGCAGCTACCCAAATTCGTTTCTGTCTTGTCTGTTTAAGCTCCTTTCCCTGTGTGGCCACCTTCTTTTTAAGCTTTCTTCTTTTTGATTGGTTGAGACTCAGAAACAGAAGGTTTGGTAGGTAATGGGAGGGGCTTCTGTGCTCATAACCAGAGCTGTGTGCCTTAGATCAGCAGTCCCCAACCTTTTTTGCGCCACGGACCGGTTTATGCCCGACAATATTTTCACGGACCGGCCTTTAAGGTGTCGCGGATAAATACAACAAAATAAAACTAGTACCAGTACAGAAAAAAAGAAGATTTATTCATAACACACGTGAAAAGACCCAGGAAAACTGAGTTAATGAAAAAACGATAACAAAATAACGCTGAAAACCGATAAAAACCCTGAAAACCAGACATTTCACACCTGAGCCTCAACTCTCGCGGCCCGGTACCAAACGACTCACGGACCGGTACCGGTCCGAGGCCCGGGGGTTGGGGACCGCTGCCTTAGATGACTATGTTTGATCTCAGTGACATCATAGAGGACCACAAGTAAAGGAAAATATTTCGGGAACTGAACGTTTAGAGCAGTCTGAAATCTTTTTGCCTCACAAAGATCACATGTATTTATGTGTCCCTCATGATTGTCAAGTTTAGCCATGTTTAATGTCAGCATATGGCAGAAAATAAGGAAACATATAACAGGTCTCCTTTAAGTAAGTATATAAGTAAGTGATATTAAAGAATGACTTTTAAGCCGACCTAGTGTCTTTCCATGAACAAACTTATATAATAATGTAACAAACTTCCTTCCCTTTGTAACCAGCAAACTGCATTCATCCTCACCTGTAAGAAATGAGCATTATCCTCAGACTGCAGCAGCTGGCTGATCTCCTCGTCTCGCCTCCTCAGCTCCTCCAGGTCCTTCTCCATCAGCTCTATGTCACTTTCAGCTCTCGCCACGATTGCGCGCTCTTTCGCTTCCAGCCTCGCTCGGGCCTACAGCACACAAGCAGAAGATTTAATTCCCTTACAAAACTGTGAACGTTTCACATTATTCTCCTCAGAGCTGCTACTGTTGCAAATACTGGCAATATTAGAACTTATGCTTCTAGCTCCTGCTACTCACCTCCGCCTTGGTTTTCTCCAGGCATAGTGCCATATCAGCAAACAGAGCCTCACCATCCTCCAGAACAGCAGACGCCGACACCTAAAAGACGCACATTAGAGTAGAACAGAGCATGTATTTAAAGATGGCATAAAGCAGAGAATGCAATCTTCTGGAAAACTCTTTGATGGCATCCTCAACAGCCTTATGATATATTAACAGACATATCTTCATGACATACTTCAAAAAGAAACCCATGTCATTTCGAATGGCCTCACTCTCTACATTAGGAGTGAGAAAAATTCTTATTTCACAGTGTTTAAGACATGCTTATTGTAGTTTCATCCAGGCATACAAACTTTCTTACAATGAACACAATTATATGGGTAATTAACAAGCAGAAAACTTTGGTGACGAAAAATTACGCCAAAAAAACAAATGAGGCTTCGTCCAAGAGTGGATCCACTGAGACTCCCATGTTAAAATATCCACCTTTAGCAGTGACACTGACAGGTCTATGGCCTAGTGCAAACACTTTATTTAACATCTATATCAATTTCACCTTTACTATAACTGTATGGTAAGTGAATTTTTGTGTTACTCACTTGTTTGGAATTTTTTAGGGCGTACTAAGGCGAGGTAGCTTTGACTGATGGCACGCCCAGAAGAAGCTAGCAGCCATCAGTTAGGCGTCACCTTTGGTAATTTGAAAATAGACCTCGTCTATTTTAGTGTTGGTGTCTCCCTGAGTGCTTGGGCATGGTGAGTAAAATTAGTGTTTTATTAGTCTGTTATTTGGCATCAATTAGCATTTATTTGTGACTGTGCATGAAATATGCACGATTTACGGATGCAGTGTGCTAGCATTACTTAGTTCACCCATTATAGTAACTTTTATATCTAATGTTGAGGCTTCATAATGTGGAAATCACAAACCAACAGGTTTGTTATGGACATAAGGTTGCCATCATTGCCCAGCTGTGGTTAGGTCCATCTTTTATACACAGTCTGTAGTATGTAGCCACATATTACACTCGCAGAGCATTGTGGCACTGCACATCAACCCATAAACCACCAACAGTGAAGCCTGGTGGTAGGAACATCATGGTGCGGGGCTGTTTTTCAACATAAGACACTGGCAGACTTCATATAACTGAAGGAAGGATAAATGGAGCAATGTACAGAGACAAGAATCTGCTGCCATCAACCAGGATGCTGAAGATGAAATGATGGTGGACGTTTAAGATCAGAAGACAGCTTGTGTGGAAGAATGGACCAAAATCACATCGGAGCAGTGCAGTTTTTCTGTACCGGAGGTATCTTGAAGGTGTCATTAGCAACAAAGACTTTTTTAGCAAGTATAAAATACATTTTAGCTAGCATGTTCAATTCTTATTCCCTGTGTCATATCACTTTATTACACAGTACTCAATTTATGGACTCTTTTTTTCTTTATATATGGTGAAAATGTTATCCCAATATATTCACTGCAAAAAATGTTGACCAATTCAGCACTTTAAAGAGAATATTACACTTTATATTTGTTAAATTACAAAACTACATTGTGGATATGTGGGAAGTTCAGATTTCAACCTTTTGGGACAGAACGGAAAATTTTCCCATTTAGTTCTTTGTAGGTTTTATGAGTAAAAATACACTAAATATAAACATTTAACATCCTGCACGTTTAAGTAGATCCATTACCATTTAAATTATTATTTTTAAAAATTAAAATTAAAATTAAAAATATTTTTTAATTTGCTAATATAACAGGCAAACTAACCAGAATCACACGATTACAATTTCAACCTCCAGAGCAACAAGCCAAGATGGCAGGGTATCTGTCTGAGGTTACTGTGAGCGGATAGAGTGACTTCCCAAGAGTGGATGGAAGGAGACGATGCTCGGGGGAGGGAGGAGAAATAGCTTTCCTGGAAGTCTGAAAGGGTGTTAGAGAAACTAGAATACAAATTGGCACTGTACTTGGAACTAACACGATCCCCAGAGGGCAGGATGTTGGTGTGCAGGGGAAAAATTTGCGTGAGTCTTGCCTACATTGCATAATAACAATAACAACATGATGACCTGAGAGAAAATCAAAAACAATTAAAATAACATTTGACTAATTTAAAAGCGAGCGTATGCATGTATTTTTTTTTTTACAGCTGTAAATAACTTAACGTTAAAACAAAAGAGTTGGTCAGTCACAGTGAACTCAAAATATACAACTGATATATACAGTGGGGCAAAAAAGTATTTAGTCAGCCACCGATTGTGCAAGTTCCCCCACTTAAAATGATGACAGAGGTCAGTAATTTGCACCAGAGGTACACTTCAACTGTGAGAGACAGAATGTGAAAAAAAAATCCATGAATTCACATGGTAGGATTTGTAAAGAATTTATTCGTAAATTAGGCTGGAAAATAAGTATTTGGACACCTCAAACATGGAAAATCTCTGGCTCTCACAGACCTGTAACGTCTTCTGTAAGACGCTTTTCTGTCCCCCACTCGTTACCTGTATGAATGGCACCTGTTTGAACTTATCATCTGTATAAAAGACACCTGTCCACAGCCTCAAACAGTCAGACTCCAAACTCCGCCATGGCCAAGACCAAAGAGCTTTCGAAGGACACCAGGAAAAGTATTGTAGACCTGCACCAGACTGGGAAGAGTGCATCTACAATAGGCAAGCAGCTTGGTGTGAAAAAATCAACTGTGGGAGCAATCATCAGAAAATGGAAGACATACAAGACCACTGATAATCTCCCACGATCTGGGGCTCCACGCAAGATCTCATCCCGTGGGGTCAAAATTATCATGAGAACGGTGAGCAAAGATCCCAGAACCACACGGGGGGACCTGGTGAATGACCTGCAGAGAGCTGGGACCAAAGTAACAAAGGTCACCATCAGTAACACACTACAACGGCAGGGAATCAAATCCCGCAGTGCCAGACGTGTTCCGCTGCTGAAGCCAGTGCATGTCCAGGCCCGTCTGAAGTTTGCCAGAGAGCACATGGATGATACAGCAGAGGATTGGGAGAATGTCATGTGGTCAGATGAAACCAAAGTAGAACTTTTTGGTATAAACTCAACTCGTCGTGTTTGGAGGACGAAGAATACTGAGTTGCATCCCAAGAACACCATACCTACTGTGAAGCATGGGGGTGGAAACATCATGCTATGGGGCTGTTTTTCTGCCAAGGGGACAGGACGACTGATCCGTGTTAAGGACAGAATGAATGGGGCCATGTATCGTGAGATTTTGAGCCAAAACCTCCTTCCATCAGTGAGAACTTTGAAGATGAAACGAGGCTGGGTCTTCCAACATGACAATGATCCAAAACACACCGCCCGGGCAACAAAGGAGTGGCTCCGTAAGAAGCATTTGAAAGTCCTGGAGTGGCCTAGCCAGTCTCCAGACCTCAACCCCATAGAAAATCTGTGGCGGGAGTTGAAAGTCCGTGTTGCTCGGCGACAGCCCCAAAACATCACTGCTCTCGAGAAGATCTGCATGGAGGAATGGGCCAAAATACCAGCTACTGTGTGTGCAAACCTGGTAAAGACCTATAGTAAACGTTTGACCTCTGTTATTGCCAACAAAGGTTATGTTACAAAGTATTGAGTTGTATTTTTGTTATTGACCAAATACTTATTTTCCACCCTGATTTACGAATAAATTCTTTACAAATCCTACCATGTGGATTCATGGATTATTTTTTTCACATTCTGTCTCTCACAGTTGAAGTGTACCTCTGGTGCAAATTACTGACCTCTGTCATCATTTTAGGTGGGGGAACTTGCACAATCGGTGGCTGACTAAATACTTTTTTGCCCCACTGTACATATATATATATATATCCTGTTTCTTTAAAAACAGGACACATTACAAATACTGAATGTCAAACAAGTAGCTGGAATTGAAAAAAAAAGACATTAAATTATTATTAGTAATTTCAAAACCCACATAATTCTCAGTTAAAGCAGACTCAGTGTCATTATAGAACATATGAATCATTAGTTTACAGGATTTTGTAAAAACAAACAAACAAAAATTGTGGATTTTTATACAAAAGTCTGAACAGAAAGAAGTAAAGGAGAGCACCAAGTTATTTCACAGTGTCTGTTTCAGCATCTTTCCAATGGTTTCCTGTCTCCCTTTGAATTGATTGACTCTTAATGGCTTTCCAACTTTCTCTCTCTACACTCATTTCAAGGTCAGTTTCATGAAATATTACAGTGTTAAAAACACAAAGAGGACTGAGCAGGTTTCCATCTCACACTACGCTCTGCAACACGGTGGTGTGAAAAAAAATGAGTCGAGCCAATGAAAACTGTAGCATTTTTGGGATGATTCACATCATGGATGTGCAGCCAACAGAGCAGCAGCTTTTCAAAACTATGCCATGGAGAACTAGAGCAGTTCTGAAGGTAAAAGTGGGTCCAGCCTGTTACAGGCAAGGTGTCCTTAATAAAGTGTCCAGTGAGTGTAAGTTGCATAGATTTCAAACAGATGTCAGCATTAATTTTATATTCGACTGGTTGCTCCAGCAAATTCAGCCCAGGAGCTGATGTGCCAGTGGAAGTCACACTTGCTGTGAAGCATGGTGATGGAAATGTCATGCTTTGGAGTTCATTGCCATGTCAACGGATGGAGAGCTAGAAAACTATCGGCATCATATCAAACTGCTTGAAGAAAGCTTGAAAGCATGTCTGAAATTTGAAATTGAGACTATAGTGGAACTTTCAACAATGGTAATGGTCCTAGGCATGTTAGATCATCCAAAGGTGGGAACAGGAGAGCTGAAGCCCACTAAAATGAAGACATTTATCACAGAAGAGTGGTCAAAAGTTTCAGCAAGCCCGTGTTAGAGGCTGATGGATTAGTTTGTTTCTGTTAATTAGTGCGATACACCACAAGTACTAGACATCTATGGACATTAGGTTACATCTGGTCGGCCAGTCATTAACTTTAAAAAGACGTCCTGTTACAATTACATTTACTACTTGAAAAGTCATCTTTTAAGGATATTAATAGCCCAATTACCATGATACATACATTTACCTATACCCAATGAGCAGTTTTCTACTGATCTGTGACACAGGTGTGTCTATGAGTTTGTCCTTTCTGTAAGAGAAGCTGAGGTATTGGGTGACAACAGCTAACATTTTCCAGGTAAGTTCCTGGTGTACCAGTTAATTTCCCAGTACCAAGAACTACCCACAGGCCACAGAATCATCAGGACATACTGGGTGTGTTTGTGTTTTTGTCACCTTGAGAGACTCCAAGTTTTGTTGAAACTCCTGCAGCTCTCTCTCTCCGGTCCGTATCCTCCCCTGGACCATCCTCTGAGACTCCTGGAGCTGGAGCTGACAGACAAACAGAGAAACAGATGGAGGCGGACAGACAAACAATTAGAGAATAAGACATCCATTCAGATATTTGGCATGAGCATTTTTACTGCATTCGGGGGAATTACTGTCCATGTGGTGAAAGCTCGTAAAATATCTCATATATAACACAGCTGTTATACAAGTGCCTTATCTTTTAAAAGACTGATAACTGTTCATAAGCAACATCATTAATAAGTGCTAAACTGAGAGGTAATTACTAACTAATTATTAGTTGGCTTGCAAACCACCATTGAAAATTATCTGGATGGTTACTGTAAATTGCAGCTTTGGAAATTGCTACTAAAATACTCCACAGTACACCCACAAACATCATATGGATGGCTATGATAAAGGTGAAACTGATATTAATAATGGTTGTTTTCAGTGCGGTTGGGTTGGGTTTGGGAACCAACAAACTATACTGTTAGGATTTTCCTAAACCTAACAAATCAAATTATTTGCAGACATAATGAAAGGACATGTATGCTCATTATGCTCAGGTTTAACTTTAAATTATGGATGCATTGATGCAGCTTATTTTAAAATGCAAAAAAAGAAGAAGAAGGTTTTATTGTAGTTGCTATCCACAAAGTTGGAAAGCATTAAGAGAAGCTGTGAGCACCGTCTGCAAGCAAAGGTCTAACTTAATGATTAAATCTGAAGCCAGGACAAATAGTGCAGCTATTATTTCTGATGGTGTTTGGCACAGAACAGAGTGTGTTTTATCTTCTCTGTCCAGGTACTGAGACATAATTTTGCATGATTTAACTTCTGTGGCATCACCTCAGCCAACTGCTGCTGTAAGGCGTCCTTACAGTGCAATAGTTATAAATCTAAATCTATTTAGTTAATCGATTTCACTCTTGTTTGGACTCTTCCTACATACTAAAGTCGTACTTAGCAGCTTATTATCTGCAGTAAATTTTGTGGGGATTCTGTAAGTTCAGTTCAACACTACTAAGTTTATTTTTAAGAAAAGAGAAGAAGAAAGTATTTCCTGTTTGTTTGATGAACAATGTTTTTCTTTTTAGAAGTGAACAGAAATTTTATGTGGCTCTTTCCCACTGAGGGTCCCCCCCCCACACACACACACACACTTTTCGGGGTATCCTGACTTAATGTGAGAGTCTTAACTCTGTGCTGTATTATACGATACTCAGAGTTTCTCTCAGCAGTACCTGTCTCCTAGCTCTCTGCGCTTCCACACTGGGCGCTTCCTCCTGGTCGGCCTGGCACAGCAGGCAGTACCCGCTCCACTCCACCGCAGCCCCTGCCTCGGAGCCGCTCCCCTCGGGCTCCAGCCCCAGGCGGTGCTGAGCGCACAGCTTCTCCGCCACACATTCTACCGCTGGCACCAACTTGTGGCGTCGCAAAGTACCGACCTCACGGTGCGGCAGGACGTGAAGCTTGCAGAAAGACGCCAGGCACACCAGGCACGACTTGTCCGCCCTCAGTTTACTCTCCGCCGTGCAGAAGTCGCAGGGAACTTCCCCGACTCCCCCCAGGTAGACCTCCGGCGCTGTGTCAATCTCATTCAGCTTGAGTTTGCCGAGAACCTCGGCGAGCACAGTGTTCCTCCGCAGCACCGGCCGAGGGCTGAACGTGTCCCGGCACTGAGGGCAGCTGAACTGACCCGAGTCCACCCGGTCCCAGTAGCTGTTGATGCATGCCATGCAGTAGGTGTGTCCACAGGGGATAGACACCGGGTCCTTCAAGATGTCCAGGCAGATGGGACACCTGAACTGGCTCTCCGTCACCGAGATATTCGCCTGAGCCATCTCAGCGGTCGGCTCCGTCCACTTCCCCGGATCGGCTCTGAGCTGCCCGATCACTCCGTTCCTGATATTAACACAAGCATTTCCTGACTTCCACGTTATTGTGAAGAGGCGTGGTAAGCAGACAGGAATAGCCTTCCGCAATGTCATACCTCCCATTAGTTTAAGCGCCACCCTCGTGCCCTGATTATTGTCTTACAGGCATGTATGCATTAAGGTGGACAGGAAACTCTACAGCTAACTTACACCAAGGAGCCCTACTCTAAAAAACTATCACAGATTTAACACCGTCTGTGAAGCTGTTTTAAGAAATAAGTGTGTTCAAAGTATATTTAGCACCATCTTGCTCCAGTACAGAACATGACTTCACTGTGCCGGTTGGTTGGTTTCTGCTGAAAGACTTAAATTGGTCTATGTTAACTCAGTGGAAAATACTCAGGATCTACTTTTACTGTTTGTTTCTTTAGCAGTAGGCCTATACTGGCTGCACTGAAATGGGAAAAATGCACCTGTTAGCCGTAATACTTCAGTTTGTCAACATTTTATAAATGAGGACAGTGTGGAGGAGAACCCGTTTGAGTCAGGGGAAGCTATGGTTCAAGAAAGTCCTCTACAAACCCTAACATTAGGGCTAACAGCTGGATTTTCCTATTACTGTGCAGCTATCCAGCTCTTAAAACAACAACAACATAAAACTAAAACAAAATGTACATGCTTAGACTTCCTTTTTGTTTTAGTTTCCTTCTTTTACACTGAGTTATCATTTGTTTCAGTAGTTTGCTAACATAAACTTATACAAGTCTATCAGCAGCAACCATGATGGTCTGTTCTGTGCTGGCACTGCTAACATGCTCTAAAAACCTTAAACACTTATTTTTGAAACCCAACTTCACAGTTAAATCTATGACAGTTTTTTGGAGTAGGGCTGTATGGTGTAAATTAGTATTAATACATGGAGTTTTTTATTGTCACTCAAAATCACACAGATGCAGAATAGCAAACTTTTACTGGGTAAAGTGCCATTTATCAAAGGATGCCAGAAACCTTTGAAATAAAATCAATGTCTTTACGTCACTTCCACAGTAGCAATAGACATTCGCTTTAAATATGGCCCCTATCAATACTGTTCTTGGGCTGTAATTAACCTAAACTGATGATTGTGATTCAGGATGACCTTCTTTTATGTTAAGGATCAGTTTGACCCATTCCAGTTTTTGTGTTGACCAAAGTACTGGTCATCCTTTCTTTTTCGTTTCTTGTTCTTTCAAATTGTACCAACGTCGGCTTTTCCTGGAAGAACTGGGCAAAAGTCTTGTCACTTCCAAGATCCAGAGGCGAGTCAGACTAGCTCGATCCCCAGTAGCTGCAGCTGTCATTGAAAAAGTCAAGTCTGCACCCTCTAACCAATCTGCGATGGATCCTGTGTGGTGGTAAGACTACACACCTTTGCCGCTGGGTTCACAAGTTCGATTCCCACCCGGTCCTGGCTAGACCCCCATGCTTAATACCAACTCCTGGAATGGCGAGGCTATGTCTGCGGCTCGGACACAAGAGTTTTGCTACATGTTGTACTCTGTATAATTGTGTATGTGACAAATAAAGGTTGTTTGTTGTTAGATACAGGTGTGGGCCACTTCTGATCTATGTAAGATTTGCCAGTGGTGTATTAATCAAGCTGTGTAAAGCCCAAAGTATCACAGACTAAGCAAAATGTGTTTGCCAACTTGGTTTGGTTTTTTTAAGCTTACCTTTGTAAACTCTAAAGTTAATAAATGTTACTCATTTCTAATTTTTCTGAAATATTATATATAAACAGTATAAACCTCTAAAATTTTAACATCTGTTAAAATATTTTTTAACTTGTAAAAAAGGTTATTTTTCTGTGAGGCCTTTTAAAAAGAGAAGCTTTAACTAAAATATAGATCAACAGCCATCAGTGAATTTCAGTTGTTCAGTCGTTGAATGTGGTGGCAGTGACATCTACTGGCAACACTCTGCACATCCACGAGGCTTATGCAAAGACAGAATAGTTTTATTAACACTACAGCTTGTGGCGGACAAGCTAACACGTGAGGTTAGGAAGGGGTCTCTATAGACTATCATGTTCACACCGGATACTGCGGTCTACAGTGAAAGTGGGAAGCAGGTGAAAGAAAACCTGGGGATGTGGAGGTATGCTCTGGAGATAAGAGAAATGAAATTCAATCGAAGCAACAGAGAATAAGTGTGTGAATGAGAGAGAGGGAGGTGTGATAGTGAAGGTATGTGAGGTTAAATACCTGGAGACAACCATCCAAAGCAACAGATAGTGCAGAGGAGAGGTGAGGAAGAGGCTGCAGGCAGGGTGGAGGTGGTGGAGATGAGTGTCAGGGGGGATTTGTGACAGAAGCATAACAGCACAAGGGAAGGTTTACAAACTGATAGTTGGGTCTGATGTGATGTATTGTTTGGAGATAGTGGCACTGACTAAAGGACAGGAAGCTGAGCGGGAGATGGGCAGAACTGGAATGACACCACTGGATTGCCTGCTCCTCTTTGACAACCCTCAGTATGCAGAAGTGCGCACAGCCCTGAAATGGTTATTAGAAGGTTTAGTAGCGCCCTCTGCTGACATAGTGCTATATCACAGACTCACTGCTTATTTTTCACAGAAATTCACTAAATCTTCTCTTTTTAAAAATATTTCTTAATACCTAAATATGGTAATGCAAATTACAAATGGTAATAGATGTGTGGCACTGATCTTACACATCTGTCAGGCACCATGTATTGAAGTCAGTGCCAGATAATAAAATGAACATATTTACTATCTGAGAGCATATTTATATCTGAGTGTGCATTTGAATAGAATAGAATAGAATTCAACTTTATTGTCATTGCACATGCACAGGTACAGGGCAACGAAATGCAGTTTGCAACCATCCAGAAGTGCTTTAGCCATAATTTAGATATATTACAAAATATATATTAGCAATAATATAGGTATATAGGTATATTACAGAAATGGGTCTATTATGAGTATGTTTCAATGTACACGGTATGAAGGTATGTTATGAATATGCTATAACTATAAGTTATAACATATTTATTTGTTTCCATAAGTTACACAATAGATGGATAATACCTGAGTTATAGTGAAAGTGCACATGACTTTTACATGCTTCGTTATTGTAATGTATCATGATTAAATCCAGAAACAGTGTGGCTTTATTGTGTCATTATAAAAAAAAAAGAAGACGGTGGTAGTTAGTTGAATGTTGTCTGCAATGTGACTGTTTTTTAATTTTGAACTGAATGTCAGCAGCAGTTCAGCAGCAGACTGAAGGTTAAGAGAGAGGGTTTTTCAGGTACTTAAGCTCTGCACACGCACACACACACACACACACACACACACACACACACACACACACACACACACACACACACACACACACACACACACAGAGGTCAGGTCATTTTACCTGCCTCTAGTGTTAAGTGGTTCCCTTTGCAGGGTTTTGTTTGTCAGTGGGACCTTAGATTAGCGCTGTAAGCTAGTTAAAAGCACTGATATGTGGGGTACTTCTGGCTATCCACATTAGGACAGAAATAGCTGCCTTAGTAAAGCTTCCTCTTCAGTGATGTGCTGTCATTTTCCAATTTTTATTTATCCTTCATTTGTTTCAGTAGCTGTTAAACAACCATTAAAATCTTCGTATTTAAAAACCTGAATTTCTCATCTGCATGTTTGTGATTTTTTTTCTCCAATCTGAATTCTTGAGTTCAGTCCAAGTCAGTGTCTGACTCTGAGCTCAGAGCAGGCAGAGAGACAAAGCCCTGAAAGAGGGTCTGGTCCCTTGACTCCCCTGGCTCTTTGTTCAAAGTGGGGCCGCGATGTACTTACTTAGAAAGAGCACTTTTCAGCTAGGCCGTAAGGCGATCCTGGGTCTTTCCTGGCCAGGGTGTGCCTTGGGCGTCTCTGGTTTACCTGCGGGACCAGGAGGAGTGGGTTGGGGGGGTGGGCTGGTCCTCTCTGCGTCGGGTAGCAGTGGGGAAAAGGAAAACAGGTGGTCAGTAGAAGAGGGGAGCGAGAGAGAGAGGCTGAGAGAAGGGAGGGGGGTTGGAGGGATGGATGTAAGGTGAGAACGCTGAGAAAGGACAAATAAACAAAGGTGGCGATGAGGGTCTGAGGTGAATTAATTGTATCAACCTTTCCCTCTTTGGCGACAGTCTCCAGAGAGAGCAGCCCAGGAAACAGCACACTATCAGCTTAGACCCAGAGATTGATGGTTCCTCTCCAAAAACAAAAGTGAACATCTTGTTTTGTTTTGTTTCGATTCTGCTTCAGAAAAATATAGGACATGGCCCAAAAAAGATCAGGTGAAGAAGATTCACAACAGATAAAAAATTATTTCAAATAAAGCTTTATCCTTCAAATGTATCAAATGTTTGAATTAGATTAGATTAGTTGCAGCAAAAGCTTAGAGATACATGGACAGTAAATGAGATTCTTTGCAAATCTGCTTCTAGTTTCTGAAAATGTGTTTGTTTTTCATGCAGCTAAAACACAACCAAGCCCTAACCCTAAATAATAGTTGGAAATGAGGAATGCTAAGAGCTTTTTTTGGTGTAATACTATTCCTGCCTTTTGAATCACACAGTTAAGTTAATATACTCTCTGATCTAAGGCAAACAAAATGGTCAAAAATGGCATCTTCATCCCTTTAAAAGGAAATCTACGACACAGTTAACTCTACAACCGGTGAGGAAAACTGATTACATCATGCGTCAGCTGTATACAGAGTGATATGACAAGTAAACATTTATTGTCAGCAGTGAACTGTCTTCACAGTTGGGATTGCCATAAAAACTGCTTCAGAAGTCCATAACACGCTCAGCATCAGCTGGGTTAATTCTTAAACCAGGTAACTTAAATTCATTTTACATCGTGGGGCCACATACAGCCTGTTTAGTGTGCTGGAGTAGTGAAACTGCTCTAGTGTGAAAGGAACTTCAACTACACATTTAGTTGAGATGCTTTAATATGAGAAAAAGATGTGATGGTATAACAGTATTTTGTTTTTTCACACACTAAATAAATGTAGTGATGTAGTAACTGAAAGAAATGTGTCAACATAAGACTTTAGGTGTAAACTGTAAAATATAAATGTGGAAAATTACAGAAAACATAGCTCTGTAGCTCATGGTCATAGTGTGCTTAAAGCAGAAAGTTTGAGTTAATTCACAGAAAATGTCCTTTTTTAAGAATAAAATCTTTTTTTTTAAATTTTGTTTTACCATGGACCAATCGTAAAAAACAAAAGCATTTTGTGGTGGAGATGGGGGATATAGGAGAGGTGGAGGAAGAACTCAGCCTGGATGTTTATTGTTTTGCGTAGTCTGAAGGATGAGTGGATGACGGGGTGGGTGCAGTTTTCTTTGTGGTAGGGTCGGGTGGGCTGTCCCGGGCTCTGTGGGGCCGGGCGGCGCTGCTGAACTGGGCCACGGATGGGCATGGGCCCCCTTTCCCTGGTGGGTTGCAGAGTATGGGGGTGTCTACTGGGGTCAGCGGGGGAGCTGGCACAGCTTCTCTCCACCCCAGGAAAAAGGGTAACACTACCTGGGTCTGAGTGCATGTTTCCCCCTCCAGGAGCAAGGGTACCTAGACCTGGGGCTTAGAGTACGCTTGGGGAGTGTGATTGTCATGGATCGCTGTGTGGCAGGCAGGATGAGGACCCAAAGTGCAAAACTCACAGACTCAAGGGATGAACTCAGAAATCACAGCTTTAATGCTGGAGAGGCAGATCGCAGGAAATACAAAACCAAACTGGGAACAACAAACTAAGTACTCGCAGAGAGACACAGGGAGATCCACACAGCATGAGGGAGAACGCGACACAGAACTGAGGGAGACGCAGACATAAATACACAGAGGGTTAACGAGGGAAGTGGGAGCACATGGGGAACACAGGTGACACTGATAATCATAACGAGACAGGGCGGAGTGAACATAACATGACGTATACAGGCGCGGGAGTCACAAAGTAAAACAGGAAGTACACGGGGGTTCAGACAGGAGGGGAGAGAGAGAGCACAGGAAGAACATAGCCATAACGGGCAGGGGAAACATGGAATAAACACAAAGAGAGACGAGGGCTCATAAATACACAGAGGGGCACACAGGGGGTAAGAGTCACGAAGGGAAAACACTTAGGGAACAACACAACAGGACAACTTAGGAAACATGGCCTAAATAAGGAACGAAATACAAAAAATACAAGAAACTAAGAATACTGGACCCACATGGCCCAGGACCATGACAGTGATTGTGTGTACAGTGTCTCTTTATGTCTGTCTCCACGTTGGGTGACAGCTGAATAATTGCATATGAGAGCATGAGGGTGGGAATGGATGTTTGTATCTGTGTGTGCCTGTTTGTCTGTGTCTATATGTCAGGTCGGGTATCAGACGGCACCTCTCAGGCCCTCCATGGTATGGAGGCCTATCTCCCCCCACCACTCCCCTGCCAGTGGCAGACACCCTCAGACATGGGTGGTTCTTTGTGTCCGGGAATGGGCGTCCAGGTACGCACCGGCTCACTCCTGGTTGCTGCTTGTCAGGGCCTGGAGCCTGGGGCTCGCTCGGGCCCCTTCGGGGGTGGGGTACCCTCGGCCTGGGGCTTGGTCACTCAGGCACAGCTGGCTGCTGGCAGAGCTCACGGGCGCGTCACTGCAACCCCCCTGGCTTCTGCTTCGCGGCTGCTGGGTGAACCCTCATCTGGGGCTCTCCTCAGCTCTTTCTGGGACAGTGGCACAGCTGCCCCTCTGTTGGTCTTCCTTGGTCTCTTGTGCTCTGGGGGCCTCTGGATGTCTGGAGTCTTGATCTCCTCCATACCTGCTTCATGCCCTGGAGGACGGGGCTGTGGCTCCCCACACCCTCTAGCAGATCATTACATGAAGGAACCTTTTAAATACAAGCGTGCTCATGCTCACAGGTATACACACGGGTGCTCACACACACAAACTACACCCTTTTTGGCTCCTACCTCAAAGCACACTGTGTGCTGTCGATCTTACGTGCTGCACAATAATGTTTAACATTTAGTATTTACTGTTATATTCTCATAGATCATCGTGATGTTGTTTATTATGTTGCTCTTTTTTTTCTTTGCTCGTTTTCTCTTTTTTCTTTGTCAACAGGTGATCCAGGTGATTAATATATGTATTTTTTTGTCTGTTTGTTTTGTTTGTTGTTTGGTTTTTTTGCCCTTTATCACTTTCTTATTCGCCGCTGTTTTCCTTTCCCTCTTTCTTTCTCCCTTTTCTTTTCCCCAGTCATGTCTGTCCCATATTTAGCAAGTGAAAATAAAATAAAATAAACAATAAAAGGTGAATCAAATAGACCAATACGGCAAGGCTGGGATGGTCCATTTGGTAAAGTAAATCCGTTGGGCATCTTTCTTTGCCTTTAGACAATAATTCTGATGACAAAAGAACCAAACGGGACAGGCAAACCCCCCCCCCAAAAAACCCAAATATTTATAGCCAATTAAAAAGAAGAAAAGGGCACATTTGTTCGTTTTCTCTGTTGCTTCATTTCTTTGGTGTACTATGAATGGATGGAAAAGCTGTAAAAAATGATTCTTATATATATATATATATATATATATATATATATATAATATATATATATATATATATATATATATATATCCTATTCATGGAGGGTTTCACCCCAAGTCCAGCACCCTGAGGCTGTACGCTAAGCGGAAGGAAGGGGCCGGGGACTGGTGAGTGTCAGCACCACAGTCCAGGATGAGACAACGAACATCCAAGAATACATTGGGAAGATGGCCCCAACTGACCGAGTGCTCAGTGAATACCTCAGGCAGCAGAAACCCAAGAAAGAGGAGGGAGACGAGGAACCATCATGGAAGGACAGGCCCCTGCACGGTATGTACCACCGGCAGATAGAGGAGGTGGCTGATATCCAGAAATCCTACCAGTGGCTGGACAAAGCTGGACTGAAAGACAGCACAGAGGCACTAATCATGGCAGCACAAGAACAAGCTCTGAGTACAAGATCCATAGAGGCTGGGGTCTATCACACCAGGCAAGACCGCAGGTGCAGGCTGTGTAAAGATGCCCCAGAGACAATCCAGCACATAACAGCAGGGTGCAAGATGCTAGCAGGCAAGGCATACATGGAACGCCATAACCAAGTGGCCGGCATAGTGTACAGGAACATCTGTGCCGAGTATAACCTGGAAGTCCCGAGGTCAAAATGGGAGATGCCCCCAAGGGTGGTGGAGAATGACCGAGCTAAGATCCTGTGGGACTTCCAGATACAGACGGACAAAATGGTGGTGGCTAACCAACCGGACATAGTGGTGGTAGACAAACAGAAGAAGATGGCCGTAGTGATCGATGTAGCGGTTCCGAATGACAGCAATATCAGGAAGAAGGAACACGAGAAGCTGGAGAAATACCAAGGGCTCAGAGAAGAGCTCGAGAGGATGTGGAGGGTGAAGGTAACGGTGGTCCCCGTGGTAATCGGAGCACTAGGTGCGGTGACTCCCAAGATAGGCGAGTGGCTCCAGCAGATCCCGGGAACAACATCGGAGATCTCTGTCCAGAAGAGCGCAGTCCTGGGAACAGCTAAGATACTGCGCAGGACCCTCAAGCTCCCAGGCCTCTGGTAGAGGACCCGAGCTTGAAGGATAAACCGCCCGCAGGGGCGTGCTGGGTGTTTTTTATATATTTACTTATATATTTACTTATATATTTACTTATATATTTACTTATTACTTGCAGTTACTGAAGTTACAAAAAAAAGAACAAAAAACCCCTGCTTACTATTTACCATTTAAAATAAAAACAGACAAGTATGAAATAGACAACAGAAATATCTGTCAGCATATGCAGGTCCAGTTTAGAACAGAGCATCTTCAAAGCTGCGCTGTTTTAAAGTGGACCTGTGATTTTAATAAAGCAGGATATTGTATACAGTGGATAAGAGACGGTGAAATAACGGCATTGTTAGCAGAAGAAAGAGTCCCATCTCCTCTGTGTTTGTTGTAATCCAGTCTTCTCTGTTTGGTGTTGTGGTTGCTTCTCAAACTATGTTTCCCTTCCTTTCAAACTGTTGGTCCTTCCTGCTTTTATGAAAATATGGCAGTAAATATGATTGAGTTGTGATTCCTCTGAAGGCTCCTTTTGGCCATGTATTGCCAGTTATTGTAGCGCACATCAGAGCTGTTTACTGCACGTTACAAAGCCATACTGATGTTTTGAGTTAGGAGGACTCAGTTAACACAATGTGGACATAGCTCTTTCAAAGTGGGTCTCCTCAATGTCAGAGGTAGTAGACCGGAATGGCTTGGTTGACCAGGAGTTGTTGTGGTTCAGGACGTTAGGCCATCTGATCAGCAGGTTGGTGGTTTGAGTCCTGGCTGCTTCAGTCTGCATGCTAAAATGATTTGTTGGAGAAGTTCCTTGGACTGGCAACGTTAGTTAGAAAGTACTTAGACAAAACATAACTTTTTCAAATTAGATATATTGTATAAAGTACTTTGAGTCCTCAAGGGGAGTAGAAAAGTGCTCTGTATTTTATTTTGAAAGACTCACCCCTGTTCTTGAAGCACAGCTTCCTGCTGTGTTCTATAATAGATGCAGATCATTGTTCTTTTGTGAATGTCAGTCCTGACAGTCTTGCCTACTGTTTGCTGACAGGAAGCTCATTTTCATACACATATAGAGACTTTCTGAAGAGTCTGAATGTTTGTAAATGACAAAAAGCTATGTTGTCATTTTAAGGAATTAAAAAAAAAACTTTAAACTTTCTTTTCCACTTTGCTGTTATTTGCGTTGCCTTAAAATATAAACTTTTTTTTTTGCATTTTGAAGTACACCTACAAGAGAAACAGGGGTTCAAAAAGCAAAGTAAATGTCAAGTATATATGTCGTGATATCCTGCTGTGTCTTGTACCCCTGATATGACGCATGTTTAAGCTGCTATGCAGATCCTCACCGGATGTGCTTTATTTTGACAGCGGCGGGAGGAAATATTATTACCTGGTTCCTTGTAGCTTGACAGTGGCGACAGCGCAGAGCTGCAAGTGGAAAGTCAAATACATCTTTGCGCTTCTGGCTTTTTGCACAAAATGAGAGGAAATGCGAGTTTTTGCCTATGTGATCACAGCAGACACGAGTTTAGACCCTGATCGTGTGTGTGACTGACACGACTCTGAAACTGAAGCTGCACTTGTGAGAATTATCAGTTAATTGGGCCATTCAGGAACTGTAAAAAAGGAGGAAGACGAAGAAGTGATGGAGGACCCGTTACGAAATTAACCCAGAACTTAAAAAAATGACGTTGATTTTAAATAAGGCGGCTAAGAGCACGTTTTAAATGACCTACAACATTTAACTGAGATTCTTTTTTTTAATTTATTTTGCTTTACCATGCGTAACAGATGGATACGCCGGAGGTTGCTTGTCTTAATTTTCACCTTCTTCATCATTCTCTACGTGGATTTTCAGCTTCGAACCAGCAGCCTTCCCAAAGTTATAGTGGTTCACCATCCATCACCCGGTGCGATCCACCACCGGACCATCCAGCAGGCTACCTTCCTGGTCAGGGACGCGCAGAACCCGGCGAAAAGTACCAGAAGCAGCGGGGATACAGCATTGGCCGATGGAGGTCGCTCGGTGCCCGAGGACGCACATGTCAGCCAGCCCGAACTGAAGGTGGAGGACGTCTACATAGCTGTGAAAACCACCGGGAGGTTCCACAAGACGCGCCTCGCGCTTCTTTTGGAGACCTGGATCTCCAGAACCAAAGCGCACGTGAGTGTGATGTCTGTTTCCTGAAACATCTTACTCTTCTCATCACACAGCAGCTCCTGATTCAAGCAAACCACCAGATTTTTAAAAAAGATTTAAACTCTCTCCTATATTTAGTAGAACATTCGTTTAAAAATATTTACGCAATCACAGGAAGCTGTTGATTTAACCGAACCCGTGAACAAAACAGATAAAAGAGGAACTCCAATGCATTTATTAATCCTATAATGGTATGACAGAATGAAACTGATATAACACGTAAAGCTCAAGAGTTTAATTTCTTAGAAATATTTCAGGCAAAACAAAGAAGAAAAAAGTAAACATGTGATCTGTCAAACCATGTGCCATGACTCTAAAGATGAAGTGAAAACACTCACTTCCTTTCTGCTCTGGTGCTGCAGGTCTGATGGCTCATTAAAGTTAAATTTAGTTTCTTTTGTTGATCACTTCATGCTAGTCTTGTCCCACTAGCATGAAGAAAAACACCCCAAACAAACAGAGAGTAACATAAAGAAATCAGTTCTGTTTTGGTTTTACAGTCTGCACGTCTCACTTCACGACTATGTAAGGGTCTATTTTTAAATATTGGCATAGAGTGTCAAACCTGTTAGAAAGCCTGATCTGTGAGGTATTCAGCTTAAAAGTCTTTTGCTACAGCTCATCCAACATTTTGAACATACAACAGTGGTGGTACTTGTGGTGCAGAATTTCAAAGGGGTTTGGGACATTTTTTTTCACCCTTTTCCTTCATCTGGGTAATTTCTGTTACTATACTTAGAAAACTAGTTACTGGCATGTATACAATACAATATATTTATTTTTTCAGGAACATATCTATCTTATACTTCAGTGGCATCAGCCTAAAGATGTTTGAGTTGTCTTTACCTGACCTTTAAAATCAGACTTCCTTTAGGTTCTGGAAACAACCCAAGTTACTCTGAGTCGCTTGTATCGGCTTAGAGGTTTTCATTGACCACTGTGCCTGTTTGTGTGTCAGTGCTGTCAAATATGCAAGTCAGTGAGCAGTTTCACTATTTAAAATTTCAGGATTCTTCTATTTAAATACACACATACAGTGTACAGAGTGTACATACAGAGTTCATTTCCTTTTTGACACCAGATGAAAGAGCTGAGGAAGCACATTTCTGTTAGCTTCTTTTCTTTTCACATCTCAGAGCGCTGAAAGACATTTTTAAAGACGCCTTGGTTTATACTCTTCCTCTTTCTCTTTGCAAACACAAAACAAAATGTTGCTTTAGCGTTTGTCGATGGTAGTGCCTGCACACAGTCACACACACACACACACACACACACACACACACACACACACACACACACACACACACACACACACACACACACACACACACACAGGCCCTATATTTATTTATCTATCTCTCTCTATATATGTATATCTATAGCTACACAATGACACAAAGATGCAACTACACACCCAGTGGTAGATGAAAACATACAGACGCATACACAGGAAGCTGCGCAGGCAGGCTGTCTCAGCCGAGGGGAAGCAGCCGCCGTGTAGTGACTCTGTTAACAATACTAAAACGGAAGCTGGTCATAGAAAAGGAAGTGTAGGGCTGATTGCAGAACAGAATGAACCCCATACCCACATATGCTTACACACACACACACACGCACACACACACACACACACACACACACACACACACACACACACACACACACACACACACACACCTGGGGTGAAAAGTCAACCAGCTTGGCAGCAGCTTCCACAAAATATTGAAGCTAATCTGCTTAGACCTGACAGCAGCTGGCAACAGCTTGTTGGAAGCCCTAAAACAGTAAATACATTGTGATAATCCCTAATATGATCTTGGCCTCAGTCTAGCTTCGGATCTTCAAAAATTTCTATCACATCTTTCAGCACCAACAACAGAAATGATCTCAGAGGTGGAAACAGATATAAGTGGATGGAGAAATGGCTAACATCTTTAATGACCAATTTAGACATTTGGAGTAAAGGTTTTATGCTAAAAGTTAGAATTTTGGCCTCACGGTGGCGCAAGAGGACAAGTGAGGAGGATTTCAATCATTAAAATGTTTTGTTCCTGTGTACTCTATGGCTATGTATCCAGTAGAAGCTGAGATATTTCACATTCAGAGTGGAAAGTTTGATCTGGAGTGATGCACAGAGAAGAATTATCTCATTAAAAATTTAAAGCAAACTGTCAAAAAAGTTTTCGAATAGTTGTTACACTGTAAAATGAGCAATCTAGAAAGGTGGAGTTTTTCAGGAGTATAAATGTTGAAGAAAATATATCATCAAAGCACAAGTGTTATGGTACTAAATTTCCAGCTTTTAATATATATCTCAGTATATGAAGGATTATGAAACAAGAATGCCCCTAACTACTGAGCAGCATGCATTGTAGTATAAACCAAAAACAGGAGAGCATCTCATTTTAAAAGCTACAACAAATCATCATCTCAAGTCCCAAACTTGGAGATTGTCAAAAGAAGAAGTGATGCAACACAGTGGTAAACATGCCCCTGTCTCTTTATTTTATAAATGTTTAAATCACATTTTAAACCATTTTAATCCAACAGAAATGAGGATTTTTAACATTTGATATGTTTGACTTCTGTTATTTCTATTAAACATTGAGTGCCTTTTTTGTAGCGCATTATTCAGACACACGGTCATAAAAAATAATTAACTATGCTGTAATAGATACAAAGTGCTACACTGTGTGTTGTTTCTTGACAGTTGCCATCTTATAGACTAGTTTTAGTAAATCATTGGTATTTCACCTTACAACTCTAAATTGTTAATGGAGATTCAGTGTTTTATACCTGAAACTAAGTTCACTGATAAAGCTATCAGATCTGTGGTTCAGGTTATATATTGTGCACTTTTTAACTGCAATTTATTCTTGGTTTTGTTATTTCGGTTAGTCAGCATGCGAGAATGTGTGACCCTGTGCCTGGTTTCACAATTTCAGATTTTTTCTTACTCCCCAAAAACTGCCATTGGTATCAGCGTCAGTTTGGCCATAACAATTATAGAATGATTTTGCCCCCTTCTACTCTCAACAAATTTCCCATTCAAGCTTCTCAGAGTGCCACAGTTGAACAGACTGAGCATCCAAATGTCCGATTCAGAAGCCAGATTATCATCATCATACTACAAAGGAATCACTGAAATATTGATCAGAGCCCTTATTAAGATATATTGCAGTCATTTTGTGTTATGGGGTGGTACAAATCTTACTTAATAGCCCTTTAAGAGTGTGAAAAACAAGTTCAGATTTATGCATTCCCACCTGACCTCAGTGAAACGTCCCTGCAAACTCTGTTTACGAGCCGCTCCAGCTCCACGCTCTGTCGTTTTCGTTCCTCGTCCCAGGCTGACTGATTTCAGTGCAGGTGCTTTAGTTTGAGTTATGGCCAGAGGTGGAGAAACTAATTGTAATGGCAAAATTTTCTCTGGAGGATTTAGTGGCGTAGGTGGTGGTGGTTGTCGTGATGATAGCGGGGGGGAGGATTGATCCTGGTATCTCATTACTCCTCCTTCTCCTGCTTCAGTGATGGAGAGATGACAGGAAGGGATGAAAAAAGGTTAAAAAAGGCCTTTGGGAGAACTAGTGAGGGGGGGGGATAGAGCTCCAGCTGTATTAAAATGACCAAAGTAATGATTTAGAGGCTGTTTGATGTCACTTCAAGGGAGAACGGGAGAGCGAGCGAGAGGAATAGAGAATATTATAATTTGATTGATGGACTGGGATGCTATAATAAAACAGTGTACTTAAGAATAGATGAAGCCTTTCTCTTTGAATGCAGCAGAGAGGATATTATGGAAACTCACTTTAATGTAAATACAGAGAAAAATACACATAATCACAGCTAGTAAAACGGTCAGACAGTGAGCCTGCCATTTTTAAACACATGAATTTGCACAGTTACCTCAAATTAACACTAGTATGGCATTTCCCTGGAAGCTTACACAATTTTATAGACTGAAAGTTAACTTACTGGATTAATTTTGGAGCTCTCGTTCACATTTTACACTTCCTTCACAACTCCCTGCCTTCACTAACTAGAAGTGGGACTTACCAGACATCATCCGATATGATCATAATACAATATTATTCCGATTTTGTAACATTTTTGCTAATTAATTACATTATAACAAGCAATTATTATTATTACAATGGTGTATGTTCATATTAACTGCTTCATACTGCTTGGTTTCACTGCTTTCTGCTATTGGCCATATACTGTGTGTACATGTATTAGTGCAACTGCAATCTACATAGTGCTGCACCTCCACGAGAGAGCGTGGTAGAGGAATGATGGAAGCAGTAACAGTGTTGAACAAGAGAAGCCTGCACACCCTAAGCAACAGAATAAATACTGAAGAGTGCAGTGTTTTCAGTGTCTGACGTCTTTCTGTAGGAGTGACAACGGTTAAAAGACAAAAAGGAAACAAAAAGGCAAATGAGGCTCCTGGTGAAATAATGGAGGTGCTGAATATAGTTTCCCCAGAGACACTCACTGTGGCTCAACCAAAAGCAGAGCAAAAGAAAAGTTGCAACTTTGCTTATATCTGAGCATTTCTGCATTGTGGTGTTTTGTAAAATTGTAAATAATGAGGAAAAGAAGGAAAGAAAAAACAGGTTACATATTGGTGCAGTGGGTGGCACCATCAATTACAATGAGAATGTCAGGCCCTTTCCAGCTGGGGCCTTTCTGGGTGGAGTTTTGCATGTTCTCCCCGTGCCTGTGTGGGTTCTCTGTAAGTACTCCAGCTTCCTCTCACAGTCCAAAGACATGCATGCTAGGCTAATAGCTGATTTTACATTGACTGGTCAATCTCTATGTGACAGCCCTGAGACAGCCGAGCTGTGACAATAAAGCTGACATTTTCACACCACTAGATGTCAGTATTGCTCTTCTATCTATCTATCTATCTATCTATCTATCTATCTATCTATCTATCTATCTATCTATCTATCTATCTATCTATCTATCTATCTATCTATCTATCTATCTATCTATCTATCTATCTATCTATCTATCTATCTATCTATCTATCTATCTATCTATCTATCTATCTATCTATCTATCTATCTATATAGTGATATGGGGGTCTGCCAAAGAAGAAACTGACTCAGCCATATCGTGCTGCTCTGACCACTCTGGATCATGATGCTGTGTGTGTATGTGTGTGTACAATGACTCATTGTTTTAGCTCACAGCAGGGAACCTTGTTTTTGTCACGTCGCATTGCTCCATCACATTGATCCCATTGATCCTTGTGAGTATATGATGTGTTTGTGTTCTTGCTCTCTAATGAGAGTACTTTCAGGATGATGTGTTACAGATGTTGAGAAGAAGACAGATAACCAATCGAAGCTCCTGTTTTTAATTCCTTATCTTCTTTTATATTTCCTTTTTTCTTTTGTATAGACGTTCATTTTCACAGACACAGAGGATGTGGACCTAACTTCAGAAGGTAAGCAGCAATCTTGAATCTCATTCACACAAAAATTTAGATTTAAATCAGAATATTTATATATGTGGGCGCATGCAAATGTGTCTTCCATTCCTTATATGGGATGTTTCTCAGATAATGCTGGCGCACACAACCTTAAATATGTAAGCTCATTCTCTGTTTCAAGATGACAATGCCACAGTGTACAAATGCAACACCACAGACATCAGGAAGACTTCTAATACTGGCGTGCACACAGGAATGAGATGAAGTGACCCATAACTCTTACCCAAGGCTACAGGATAACTAGGCAGCTGCCTTAGGCATCCCCTGTTGAAATATTTTGTTATTGCTCCTGCACTGCTCTTTAAAGTCTGCCACTAACACCCGCTATCAACACCACTGCTCATACTGCAGCAATAAACATGTGACACAAAGGGGAGACTGCAGGCAGGCAGTTAAAGGACTCTCCAACAATCTGCAACGAAAATTTACATTAAAATCAGACATTTTGATATTAATCGAGCAGCAATAAATCCAGATGTGCCCAGATGTTGTGAGAGTCACCAAAAATGAATGCAACATAACCTCACAGGAGCTGAAGTTGTGTTTTTGGAAGTCTTTTTTTCCCCTAAGAGTATTAGGAAGGATGAATATGAGCATGCCCATACAGAGAGAGGCGCATACATTTACTCATGTGGCACGACAGCAGTAACTTCATCAATTATTTAGTTACAAACACTAAAACCCCCAAACCATAGCCACAGCCCTGGCTTAACCAACTCTGTAAATGCTTGTTGTGACTGCAACAGTGCTTCGATTTCCAGCTGGCCTCTCATTTCTAGTCTGTTTTGCCGAGTAAAAATGACAACTGGGCAGACTGCAAGCCAGACCTCATCACCCTACATCAGTGACTGTTTTTTACAAATGCTCCTGTGGGTAAATTGAAGGGAATCCTTTCAATCTGGGTCCTAAATATCGTGGAGTGTCTTAAATAGATAAGTTAAGTGGAGGCTGAGCTGTCTACTCATGCTGTTAGCTTGTTAGTTTTTTCCTTCTTCTGTTCACCCCTGTTATATTGTTTCCGCACTCTCTATCACACACATCTCTATCTTTATATTTTCTCTCCATTTCTAATATCACTTGTCAATCACAAACAGGGTTGATCATGGCTGATGGTAAAATAATGTACCATGCAGAATGGTATAATCATCAATACACCCAACCATGTGCAACTGCTTTGAAACAGATGGCATCCAGTAGTATCTCTTTCTCATCTCTCTCTGTCTGTCTCTGTCACCAGGTTATAACATGGTGGTAACAGACTGCCAGTCTGATCACAGTCAGCAGGCTCTGTCCTGCAAGATGTCTGCAGAGTACGACGGTTTCATGGCCTCAAACAAGAGGTGAGCCTGATTACGGTCTGTCTAACACCCTCTCTGCACCGGCTTTAAAGATCAGATTAAGATTGCAAACTTTAATGATCACCGTGGGGAAATCAGACCGTTACAGCAGCACTTAGTGCGGCAAGAAATCAAAGAAGTAAATTATGTTCCAGGGTTACAGAGGCATAAACAGAGGTGAGGATTATTACAGTCACACTTATTACAACAGTAATCTTTGAGGAGTTTAAAAGACTGGAATTTATTTAAGCATAACCTGTGCATTAATCGATCATCTTAACTACCTTTTCTGTGCGGTGCTGTCCAACTTGTAAAGGTATGAAGAACAGCCTTTTATGTTTTTATTTTTTATGCATTTGTAATAAAATGAATATAATTAAAAATATTATTAATATTAGGTTCGGAGGACAGACTTGTTTAGAAATTCTTGGAATTCTTTGAAAGAGGAGGAATTTCTTTGCCTTTTTCTGGTTCCTTCATTTCCTCTTCCATCTGCTGTTTTAAATGAATGAGTCTGTCCATCTATTCATCTGTGGCTTTTTCCTCTGCACCAAAATTCTCCTTCAGGGTTCTAATTGATTGTAGGAGCCTGGAAGTTTCTCCTGCGCTCCTGGCTACTTTCATTTTCCATGTCCTTTTGTGCCTGAAGTACTGATGTGGTCTGTCTGTGCTCAGCCAGGAGACGGCACTGGTCCTCCTCTCAAATATCATCTTTGGTCCTGTAGCATTCTGTGAATGTGGGCCAGTACAGCGTTACACCTGCTGTGATAAGTCTGTCTGAGCCTTCCTCTTAGTGTTTTTAACACTAAGATTGTCTTTGAGTTGTTTAATTTATTTGGGACAAATCTGCATCTGTGGGAGTTCTGTGCAAACGATACTTTTTTTCTTCCCACTGTCACCAAGTTTTAGCTCCATATGGGATTGTCTGAATGTTGGGGCTGTATTATTGTAGGGTCTTTAGTTTACAATATAAAGCACCTGGGGTGATTGTTGTGACTTGACACTATGTAAACAAAAATTAACTGAATTGAACTGAATCAGTGACTTATGAAGAATGTGGAACAGGAGCATATAATAATATCAAGGACATAAGAGTATCTGCATAGGGAATGAAATGCCTGCCTTATTTAAGGAGACAGAACTGTTTAAAGAGCTTCTTGCAACACAAAATGATGAGGCAGAACAGGAGACTAGGACAAAGGACACACTTTGAAAATGCAGAGTGGCACATAAACACATAGACAGTGAAAGGAGTTATGTGAAGAAGAAATACACAGTGAGAAGCCCCCAGCAGCCCAGGCCTATTGTAGCATAACTAAGGGAGGGTTCAGGGTCACCTGATCCAACCCTAACTATATGCTTTATCAAAAAGGAAAGTTTAAAGCCTAATCTTAAGAGCACAGAGGGTTTCTGCCTCACAGAAGGTATCAAGCTAGATTCTCTAATCCAGGGGTAGGCAACTCCAGGCCTCGAGTGCCAGTGTCCTGCAGGTTTTAGATATCACCCTGGGTCAACACACCTGAATCAAATGATTAGTTTGTTACCAGGCCTCTGGAGAGCTTCAAGACATGTTGAGGAGGTAATTTAAACACATAAATCAGCTGTGTTGGATCAAGGACACATCTAAAACCTGAAGAACACCTGCTTTCGAGGCCTGGAGTTGTTTCATCTCCTCTGTTAAATACTCTACCAAGACATCAGGTGACATAGATTAGACAAACATAATAACTTTTTTTCTTCTTCACCGTATTGGTGAGAAAGGACAGCCGGTGCACTCTTGTAGTGTGTTATTTCACATTGATTTTCTCACAGTTTTGAAGTAGTTACTTTTAACTAGCACCCTGTTTGCCCAAATGGCATCTAGGTAATTGGGACTAAGTAGGTCTTGACATATCCTGACATACAGCAATTTATGTCTTGTGGTTTGATAATTGGAGGCTCTGGCTTGGGTACTGTAACAGTCAATTTACGCACAGTTGTTTGGCAGTATTCTAGCAACTGCAGTAGGTGGGAAGCCCAAACAGCATGCTGATGCTTGATGACGTGAAGACTCCAGCGACACTTAAAGTATTAGGAAACAGCTTTATTAAGTGACCAATGCGTTTCAGCCTTCATCAGGGTCATTGCAAAATGTCAAACAGTTTGCGTTTAAATAAAAAACAGGAAACAGAAAAAAATCCAAGTGGACCAATCACACCTTCAGGAAATATACAAGCTGACCAGTTAACATTTAACAAGGTGGTATTGGCTGATTTGTTAATTGGTTAAGCCGCAGCCCAAATAGGTTCTGGGCTGAACCACTACAGATTAAAACGGGGAGAAAATAAATAAATAAATGAAAACATTCCCATCATGTCTTAATGTAAGACATACTCAAAATTACACAGAAAAATGCAAATAATCTGGTGACAGTTGCAGAGAAGAGGACATTAAAGAAACTGTTGGACATTATGAACAATGCTGGGCATCCTCTGCACACGGCCATAAACAACCAGAGGAGTCTGTTCAATGACAGGTTGCTTCTCCCCAAGTCAAGGACCAACAGACTTAAAAACTCCTTTGTCCCACACGCCATCAGACTGTTTAACTCCTTGCTGAAGGGGAGAGGGAGGGGAAACCGGGGGACAAAGGAGGGGGGAACAACCAGTCAGATTCTACGTTTCTCTGACTCGTGTCCTTAGCAGTACACATGGCACAAGTTTGAAGGGGATGTTGAGATCGATGGAAAACCAGCAAACAGATATACAGAAATTGCTTAATTAGTTAGATAAATGTATGACTGCATTCTGTAATAGCTAACATCATTAGATGGATGTGCAGTCAATAGCTGCCAAACTAATTATTCACCCACTATCACTTCTCAGATAAATTAACCGTGCCCTGGTTGCTTCAGTTTGAGGCTTGAGTCTGACAGCGTTGAGCCTCCTCTGTGTTCACTGAGCTTATTTGAACCACACCTTTCAGTCACTGTCAGCTATCCATAACACCTTTCAACTGGGGCAAAACTAAAATAATGCAATCTGCTCTTAATGGGCCCAGAATGAAGATGATGTATGATCCCCTACACTCTTGTCTGCATCTTTTCCAATTTCATGCCTTGTCTCGAACACTGCATTAGCACACAGTGCAGGCTACCCTTGTGTCATTGTTGTATTTATTAGCTCTTTGTGCGTTATGTAATCACAGAAGAAGAAGAAGCAGGAAAAAAACAGGATTAAAATATTTCCAAGAAACTGAAAAGTTTGTTTATTAGGGACTTGAATATGCACGAGACAACGCTGCTTGATGCTGCTGTACAATATAAAGTATTGACAATCCTTTGATACTGATCTATGGAAAAATGAATGAAACTTAACAGCTTGTGTTTGGGGTGGGAGTGAATGGGGGGGCGTTCATTATTAGAATGGCAGTGAAAATGTTTTCAAATTGGTTCCAAGGCACACTTACAAACCTCCCCAGTTTCACTCAAGTCCCACTCAAGAGGGAAGTGAGGATGTTTGGTTTGGAAGTAAGCCTTTTCTGTTGTTGGGCAGCAATTAGGATGGCAGAGGAAACAAGGCAGCACTTCAGTTTGGTACCAGCAGCTTTGTAATTTGGACTCTGATGTTGCAGTGCAAGCCTGTTTGGTTTGGAATGAGGCTCTGACATCATGTCCAGTCATTAAGATGGCAGAGAAAAAAATCAAACAGCTCGATTACTCACAGAGCAATTCAAGCTGTGAGGACAAAAACAAATGTAGATGAAAAAAGCTTCAAAATGGGAGAAGATCTTAAATCTTCTCCCATTAAAATGCCCAAATTCAACATTTCTTTGCTAGCTTTTCCAGAGCTCTTGTGACAGTATCACATAGAATGATCTGCCAAGATAACCAAGAGTTATCATTACACATACAACCTTATCTCTTATCACGTGACCTTAACAACTACCATTAACTGAAGAAGTTAACTAGAAGTTGAAGTAAGTTATTACAGATGTACCTCATCATGTTCTTCTTCCACAAAAAGATTAAGTTCCCTCTGAAAGGGACACGATATCTTGCTTCACAGGCGTTCTTGAGCCACAATGACATCCTTCTCATGAAGAACACTGTCTGAATGAGTGGGGATAGAGCCATAACTTTAATTCTAATACTAATTGGGACACAAAAATATTTCAAGTAAATCTGATGAAAAACATTCCTTAAATAAGTTTGTGACTCTGCCTAAAAGTAGGGTTTTCTACCAGAGCCCTGAACAAACTCCATGCTAAGCCATGTTATGGATATAATAAGCCAAGAAATGTGATAAGTACCCCTACCTACATCTTTGCTTCATTAAGAATGTGCCTGCGAGTGCATAGCCGTGAATGTCAACGACATGCAGGCATCAGCAAAGCAACGTGATTGGCTCTGAAAGATTGGATGCTGATTTGCTGTCTGGGGTCAATTTCTGTTTTTCCATGTCTGTCTCATAAATTTGTCTCTGTTTATGTACAGCATTTCAGTCAGGTTGAGGTCTGGACCTTGACATTTTCAGCCACTCTGCTGTGTATTTACTAGTGTGCTAGAGATCATTGTCCTGTTCTACGAACCAATTTTGTGTGTCTGTTGGATATAAGAACACATATGGGTCTAGAATACATTGGTGTAGAGAGGAATTCATGGTCGACTCCAAGGTCCTAGGTAATGTGGCTGCAAAACAAGCCTAAATCATCACCCCTCCACCATCGTGCTTGGCAACCCCTTGCAACCCTTCCAAACAAGCCATCGGTTGTTTGTGCTGTCGTGATCTTTAACATTGAACGTGGTACCTGAGGCCTGTGGCATCTGAGCTGTAGTGCTTGTTTTTTTTTTTTGCTATATTTCTGAGAATTGCATTTTTTGACCTTGGGATAAATTTACTGAAACATTGACTCCAGGGAAGACTGGCAGCTGTGCTGCATGTTTTCTGTTTGTGAATTATTTTTCTCACTGCACAAATGATGGACTTCAAATTGTTTGTATTGTCTGCTCCACACCAGCGAACTGCCAAACCTTCTGCTTCTATAGAGGTGCTCGTACTCGCTGAGGATCAATTAATCAAGTGCACTTGATCAGCAGCACCTGACTGCTGCTTACTGCTTTAATTCTTAAGTACTTACTACTTAGTTTCTCATTGCACAGCACAGAGTCCCATAAAAACTCTTTTTCACATGCTGTACCTTGTAAACTGTGATATGAATAGTTTACAGACTGCTGTGACTCCAGGTGTCTTTTCTCTCTGTTCTCTCACCTGATCTCATGAATTTAACAGTCACATTTACAAGTTGGTGAGACTGTTAAAAGACTACACGCTGAGTCAAGCTCTGGGTCTGTGTTTGTTGGTTACTCGAGGTAAAGCCTATCAGTGATGTCTATAAACACAAACAGCAGGATACGAGCACATACAAATGCTTTTCAGTCTCTGTTGTAAATCTTGTGGTTAAGTGGCTGTCAGTTCTCTATTTAGATGAAGTATCTGGCACTATGTGCCAACATAACCTTTTTCTTTTCAATGTCTGTAATGAAGATAGGCTTGCAAGGGCTTCAGGATATTTATATGACCAAAGGTCAACTATTTTTCACATGGAGTCCTAAAATATAAAACTTAAAAGAAAATCTCATATTTTTGCTGTGGCATCCAACCACAAGTAAATACATGCATATGGGTAACTAGATGACTTGGGGTTACAGCATTGATCACACTTGGTTTGAGGAATTTCATCCCGCTTCCGTTTCTCCTCTTCCAGTCAGTGTAAGGTATCGCCATTTCAAGTACAGATGCACGATGCATTACTTAGGTAAGACTTTTTTCATTTCTCTGTTGCAAGAGTGGAAGCAACAAAGAAGAAAATTAGTCTTCAGATTTTTTTTCCGCCTGATTGCAAATGTCAACAGGAGAAATGGAGCGAAGCTGAGAAAACTATTATTATAAACCCAGCACCACGGTTACATTTTAAATGAATATTTTTCCTTTTCTTTCACCGATCGCTCCTCAGGTGGTTTTGTCATGTGGACGATGATAACTACGTCAACCCAGAAGCTCTCCTCTCGCTGCTGTCAGCCTTCCCCCAGGAAGGTGACATCTACGTGGGCAAGCCGAGCCTGGACAAGCCCATCACTGCTCATGAACTGCTGGAGGGCAACGCAACGGTACGATACCACTCATGAGTATTTTAGGTTTCTTGGCAGAGTCAACCTTAGCACTAGGACTTGGCTGAGCTTTGCAAAGTACATGCTGAAGTCGTGATCTAGTGAGGAGCATATAACTGCACCCTGAAGAAAAAAAATCTCTTAAATATGCAAAAAGGGACGAAAACATGAAGGTTTTGGTTACAGTTCCATGTTCAGTACATCTCATTTTAAAGACGGAAACTGACACCCACTCAAAAAATACTCTTTGTAGCACAGCATAATGCAACTCTAAACTCAATTTTATTAATGTGGAATGATCATTGATTAGAGCAGGATGGCCGTCCGCAGATTTAATTTTTCCAGTGAGCCTCCTGAGATTCTTTATCTTTCTCCATCTTGGTTTCCTTCTCTCCTCCTTTGTTTTCAATGTTTTCTTATTTGCTGTTATGTCACTTGCTTGTTGTTATTAAATCAACCCTACTGTTTCTCCGGTTTGTGCTCTCTCACTCCATGGATTCTTTTTTCGTTCCTTCTGTCCTTGTTTCACGGTGTCCCTTTTTCGCTCTGTTTTGCGGTGATAGTGAACAGCTTCTTTCTGGAAAGGTTAATTGCTTCGACTAATACCCACAGAGTGCTCGACTCTTTAATGCGTTCTCCACCAGAAATATTTTCACAGTTTTGATCCTTACTGGAAACGGTTACAGGACCAATTTCAAGAAATCACATGTTAACATGTTTAATTGGGTCAGGCTTATTGCTATTTGGATGTAACAAAGGGTTTCTGCTAGTGTGTAAAAGCCCAAACTGGGCCCCCTGCTAGTAATACCAGCAGCTTTCTCTTCATATTTATTTGTTGTACTTAAAAAAATCATTTTAGACACGAGCTATAACCATTAGTATAATTAATGATACCATCCTACTGTTTCCATTAACTGGCTTTACTCATATGGAAGAGTCTCACAAAAACTAAAGGAAAGTTAAAAAAGGGAGTAAAGAACCAGGAAAATGTTATGACCTTTTAGGGTTTTAGCTGTTCAGCTGGAATCTGTCCACTCATGAACACGAATGAAACAAAACAAAATCATTTATAGCTGTATGTGAACAAGGTCAGCTGTGATTCAGTGCTTTTCTGCTTGTGTTCACGTCTTACATCTGACGCCGTGTGCATATTGTCCCCCATGCTGGAAGTTACATATCTGCAAACACTCACAAACTAGTAGTGAGTGTGATGAACCCAGAAATAGAGAATGTTTGTATTCAGAGTAAAAGTGCACAGCGCTGAGGCTTTCAGACAAGCCGGCATCTTGCAGGCAATCTACTAGCAATCAAATCAATGGCATGGATGTTTTCATTGGGGGTGGCTGTAGCTCAGGAGGAGCTAACCCCAAGTTGCTCTCCGATGCATCCATCGGAGTGTGAATGTACTTAGATAGCACTGAGTATAGATAAAGTGCTTGTAAGAATGGGTGTGATTGGGTGAATGTGGCATGTTGTGTAGAGCACTTTGGAGCTTTGGAGCGTCTGGGAGAGTAGAAAAGCGCTGTAGAAGAATCAGTCCATTTACCATTCATTGCAGCACCTCGTACCTCTGAAACCATTTTACCTTGCGGCTGCCAGCAACTGCCAGCAATCACTTACTAACCAGTTTAGGAATAGACATTTGTCCCAGTCTCTAAGCCTGTGTTACTGGAGCCTTATGGTGTTTTTGAATTTGAATTTATTTATTTAAAAGGGACAGTGCAGTTTAACATAGTCCAAGTACAAAAATACGAAACTGATGTAACGCACATAAGTTTATAGCTATTGCTAATTTTCAACAATTGTCCCTTGTTGGGTTTACAATCAAAATCGATACATTTTACAATAAAACATACATTTTCATAAAACCAAATTACATCATAAATACAATTATAATTAATAAACAATAAATTAAAATTAAATTAAAATTATCATCAATCCAATGACTACATCTCGGATTTCCCTTTAACCAGATTTGAACCTTTAATGTAAAAGATCTGATGTCTGTAATCAATTTGATTTCGGCTGGAAGTGTGTTCCACAGATGGCAAGCCTTTATGGAAAAAGCTGACTGACCAAATGTAGATCTGCAATATGATATCTTGCAGTTGCTTGCCACGTCCCTGGAGCTGGACAGAAGAGACAAGTGTACGACGGTATCTTCTGTGTGGTGACACCTATTGTTCAGGGGAGTGCTACGGCGGCTTCCTGCGCCTTAACGGCGGGCTTAGATAGATGCGACTGCCTGCTGATGTTACAGCACTGCATGAAATGACTGCTGTAACTGGCGCTTCGCTTACAGTTCAATTCAATTCAATTTTATTTATATAGTGCCAAATCACAACAAAAGTCGCCTCAAGGCGCTTCATAGATACAGAGAAAAACCCAACAATCATATGACCCCCTATGAGCAAGCACTTTCTTTCCTGTATGCCTTCCTTCATACAGGAAGGATGATCTGATGTCACATTAATTTTCACGTGGTTAGTGAAAACACGAGTGTAAAACCTGAATATATATACACATATATGTTTCTCTTCATGCTGGTGTCTTCGCTCTGTATTCCTCCACATAAGCTGTCCCACTGTTCCCTTAGAGCCAACACACAATTAGCAATTAATGCTATAGCAGGTAGTTAGCACTACAGGAACCAAGTACGACATTCAGTCCTCAAATTTCAGCTGAATTAATGACTAATTCAGTTCAGTTATTAGACTCAATGTCAAAAGGTGACAGAGTTCAGATCACTGTGATGCATCAGCACATTAAACATAAGTTTGTCCTGTGTGCTCAGTGAGGGGAACTTAGAGAAGACATCTAGAAAGGTCATCGTGACATATCTCTTACCATGATCATTACCATGGCAACATTTTATTTTTATGGTACATAAAGCTGCTGCTCCACATCGAAAGGAGCCAGCTGAGGTGGTTCGGGCATCTGACAAGGATGCCCCCTGGGCGCCTCCTGGGTGAGGTGTTCCAGGCATGTCCCACCGGGAGGAGGCCCCGGGGCAGACCCAGGACACGCTGGAGAGATTATATCTCTCGGCTGGCCTGGGAACGCCTTGGTATTCCCCCGGACAAGCTGGAGGAGGTGGCTGGGGAGAGGGAGGTCTGGGCCTCTTTGCTTAGGCTGCTGCCCCCGCGACCCGACCCCGGACAAAGCGGATGACGATGGATGGATGGATGGATGGATGGTACATAAAGTAAGTTGTTAGCATTATGCATGTCAGTGGTGCTGATTATAGAATGAGTAACAAATCCTAGAGATGAGATGAAAAAATATTGCTGCTGTAAAGGTAAGAGGATGGGTCACCACAGAATGAAGATTTCCAATATCAAGAGGGAAAACTAAAAATGAGATGAATGAAAGCAGCCAGGGTTTTCCCTCCTGCTCACACAGCAGAGAGAGCAGCTGATGTCAGAGGACACCGTCCCTGTCAAGAACTGCTGGAGTCTGTCGATCACATGTAATTTACACAAGGAGCTTATGGAAAAAAACTCTTTTCTGATGGTCATTTTCCTTTTTCCCTCCTTTCCTTCGTTTGTCTATCCATCATGCTTCTCTTCTTTCTCTTCTTTTTGATCTTTGGCTTTGCTAGTCTTCTGCAGGCACCATTAAACAGTAAAACAAAGCTGAAGCTGCTCCTATCGGTTTTATGTCAAGTTTCACCCAAGTCAGGTTAACTGCTGCCATTCAAAATCCATACCATCCATTCTGTTTTCTTCATTTTCACTCTCCACTGCTGCAGGGGCTCCCCCTGAGGTCAGCAGCATCTTCTTCTGAATACACATGTCCTCGTGTGTGTGCATGAGTGTGTGCGGCGCACGTGCGCCTACATTGGTATGCATGTGTGTTATTGAGTTTACAGAATTAATGCTGCTATTGAGTTAAAGAGCATCCTGACTCCAGCATGCTCTCTGAATAGGGTGTCGTGCTCTGTCTCTCTCTGCTTCCCTCTTGCACTTTACAGTCTCTCTCATTCGTTTCTTGAAATGACTCTCTCCGTCTCCCTCGTGTCACATTCTCTGCTCTGATTGCAGCCATTTGCAGGGAAGAATAGATCTTTATTAATCTTTGCTTTGCTTTTTCTCTCTCTTCCCTTCTTCCTTCCTTCTTTCTGTTCCCTTTAGTGAAAACAAAAAAAAAGGCGATGTCAGGCTCCTCTCTGTCTCCTCATCTCATTTTCTTACATCTTGCTGCCTAGTTTTTTTCCGATTTCCTGTCACTATAGTGAAACGGGAAGGATAATGATCGGAGGAAGGAAGAAAAGAAAGGAATGGAGTGGGAAGGAATGGGAAGTAAAAAGGAAGGGGAAGAGATAAAAAAAAACAGAGGAATAGTAAAAAGGAAGAGAAGTTTATTTGAAGAGATGTACAGGAAAGAGGAAATTAAAGTAAAGTAAAGGAAGGAAGGACAAGTACATTTTTCACATGTTAAATTTTACAAGAAAATTAGTGAACAGGAGGTAAAAAGAGAAGAATGAAGAACAGAAAGGGAAAGAAATCTTCCAAGCTCCCGATTAGTTGTGCAATTACAGCTCGCTCTATGAGTTAAATTCTTTATCTGCCTGCTGTGACAAACAGGAAAACAAGGCAGCACATTTACCCCGGCAAAATATCAACTGAGCAATTTAAGCAACAGGAAAAGGAAAAACACAATAGTTGCTTGAGAAATGGCTCAAAGTTAGAAGATAAAGATGTACTATTCATAACAGACTGGAAACCAGAGCAGTTAATACGCGCCTGAAAGAGAAACCGTGAACACTTAGGTTCAGTCATAGAGGCCCTTTTCCTCTTCTGATTTCCTCTGATATAGCAGAGGTATTGTGTGTCTGTGAAATGGTGGCAAATATTTATAACATTCAGTGTGAGCTTGTGTTGTATTTTTTGTGTTCTGTATTCCCAGATGAGTATATGTGTGTATGTCTGTTGGTGTGAGTCTCTATATGTGTGTAACAAAAGTAAACACAATTTAAAAGAGTTAATACAACCAAAGCTTTTAAAGGCTTTAGCTCTTTATTGGGCCATAAATAATATTTGGTACCTTAAATGGACGTCAAAATCCCCCCCCCCATAAATCACTGAGAGGTGGTACAACTACTGTACATGGATTTCTTCCAGCCAATCAGCAAATATCAGGTGTGTGACAGATAGTGGCAACAGTGTGTCTAATCAATCAGTGATGATCTGGAGAATTGTAATTTTCAGTGTTCTTCCAGAATTCATGAAATCGGGTCCTTCGCACATACCTGCTCCTACAGTTGGGCTCATAATGCCCAAACTGATAAGTCGATAAGAGCGAAGGATTATATAGTTCAAAAGTTGCTTTAGATGTTGAGTTAGATGTTGTTTGTGTTGGATTTCTAGAAAGTATAGATTAGTGAAATTTGTGGCATAATAATGATGTCACCATATTTACTTTTCACAACGTTCACCTAAAAAACGTTCACTACTGATGGTTACTTTGTAGTTTTTAGCACCAGGTGAGCCACATTGTGTTCTAAAACACACCCTATTATAAACATAGGACAGTAGTATTCATAGTAAAATGGATTTTGTCAAAGCTTCATACAGACAGTTATCCAATGATAAAAATTTAACCCACTTTTACACATTTCACCTTTTTTTTCTGGCTAGAAACTGTGAGATATTCGATTTTGTTTGCTTTATGACATCATAGCAGGTTTATAATAAATAAATGGCATTTATTGGGGTTTATTGTCAGTCTTACTACTGCTAAAATTAAGATAGTAATTCAGTATTGTAATTTATTTAGTTTCGATTGAATTACCTACATGCAATTATAAGGGGCACCCACACCAGGTGCAATGCTATTTTTTATATATATATATATTTTTTATTTCTATGCCAATATATGTTTTTTCAGTAGATGTACACTTCACTGTTTTCCTTCAGAGTTGGCTGGATAATGACTAAAATGACAATGACCAGCATTATCTTAGTGGACATCATTACTATGTTACAGCAGCTTTACCAAGTACAGTGAAGCAGGTTCCTGTGACAGCGCTGCGCTTTCATTTTGTGTTATATTTGTGAAAACTGACAATGTGTGTTTTTTCCCTATAGTCTATGTATACACACTGTTTAGAAAAATGCGAACCCCAAGCAGTGAGTGTTGATCTTAAAAAAAGTTTGAAAAAAGTCACACAAGTAAAAAGAAAAGTTCTGCAACATGCTCAAATAACACTCGGTAACAACGACTGCCATATAAAGGGTTAAGTCGGTAGATGTCTAATGGAAATGTATCTGTATATTTTTAAATAGTTCATTCAAAGCACAGAAAATGTGTTTTAAACAGCTTTTTGAGGAAACAGCATCTACTGTGAGTCTGAAGCGGCTAAAAGGAGTTTTTCCTTGGAAACATTTGAGTGACATTTCACAGCCAGAGTTGCACCCTCTGCAGAGCACTAATATTTCACATAGTACTTTACAATGGTTAATAAGCACATTTTACCACAGCATGAATAGTGCAGCGCTTCAGTGACTGTTCTGTCTACTGTACTGTCACAACATGTTGCAGCAAAAGTCGAGGTGGAGTTTTTGTTTCCTTTATGGTTTGAAACTGTGGTATATCTCCACTGGAACCGCATTTTTACTCATACGACACCCAGTCCAGTCTTTGTTAGTTTGTGATTATTTTTATACGGTATCTCTTAATAATTTCTGTGTGTTGTCTATCAGAGGGAGGTGCAGTTCTGGTTTGCAACAGGTGGAGCAGGCTTCTGCCTGAGTCGAAGACTGGCAGAGAAGATGGCTCCATGGGCCAGGTATTTACAATTTGTGTGTGTGTGTGTGTGTGTGTGTGTGTGTGTGCTTTATAGGGACGATGATGATAAGACAGTGAGGAAAAAAAACACAAGCACACAGACAATTGCATCTATGTAATGCTGATATGAATTCAAACCAAACATGTTTGGGGCTTTTACACATTTTTTCACTGGTTTTAAACATTTGTTTGTAAAAATGGCTTCTTGTTTAATAAGTGTGCAGATTTTCTAGTTTTAGACGACCTCCTGTTCTTTACATTGTTGTAGGGAACTTGCATTAATGCTCAATGATATAAACTTGTTTTAACATATCTCATCAGTTTTAATGGAAAAAGCACCAAACGTTAAACTAATTAAATCATAAATGCTAACACAAGTAAACCTCTGGTTTGAAAAAGCAAAGCAGATTCTAAAATGCCTTAAATGTGCACTCTTTTTAACGGTCAGCAGGGGGCGACTTCTCTGGTTGTGCGTCCCTTTATAGACAAATATAGAAAAATGACCCCACCTGCCAAGAGACAATCAATTTAGAGCAGGGTCGCACATTAACAGATGATGTTCAGTAACTGACAGACTCCGATGTAAGACTGTAAACATCGTGATCTGTAGCATTCTTGCATTAAAATAAACTACATCCCTTCAAGAGACAGAACAACTGGAAATGACAAAGGTTTATTTCTATACTCTCAGACTGGTGGTGTCAACAGGTCAACAGTACCAGCACAATTTTACTCTGATTTGTTTAGTTAAAAAAAAAAGAAAAGGATTTGCAGATCTCATGTGGGAATCTTTTATGTGTGTATCTGCGATCTATATCTCACATATTGTGATGCACCTGTGGTTATGTTTTAGAGCACAGCTCAGACGAGCTCATGAAAAATGGATGCGCTGTCCATGGTCCTGAATTTGTAACGGTTTCATTGGAGTATAGTGAAAATTTATTGGAGAAAACATTGTTTTTGAAGTTTATTAATGGAAATGCATCGATCAGAATAAAAGCAATCACCACCGTGATCAAAAAACAAACAAACATCAAAATACACTTCCTTTGCCTGATGTCCATCTAAGACCTGATTTTTTTTTTTAGCTCCAAAGCCAACTTCATCGCTCCGTTTGCTCTGTTCTTGTGTCATTTTGCTCTGTACACCACGGGGTCAACTGAAATTCCTACACACGCTCTTAAACCTCTGCATTGCCTCATCAGTTCACTTAATGCTGTCAAATCAAACACAAAGCACAAGAGATACTTTTTCATTGCTACATCAGCAGAGTTAGAGTAAATTGCTCGTTGCGAATCTTAATAAATCTCCTCTTACTTTTTACTGCTCCAAATACCAACAGGACTGGTTTTCCACCAAAATTATTTATTGCTGTGTTTATGGTCTCAGTGGCTAATTTGATTACGACAACTACAACATGATTTTCATTCTGTAAATTATCTTGTAGCAATTTGTTAATCTTTTGACTGACAAAATTGGTGCTGTATCTGTTTTGACTTTTTGGTTTCTCAGTCTGTCTCTGAAACTTTGTATTTGTACTTCTCTCAAAGAGCTGGAACTAATAGCTTCCCAGGGCTACAGGTAGAGCTAGAGAACCAATCTAAAATAGTTCTTTGGAAAAGGTCAGCAGTAAAATATGCACAGTAAACAGTCAATGGGCCCAACCACATGTTTTCAGATAAAGGTTGGACAGTTTATGGTGCTAAATTTCTCCCACAGTAAATGTGGATGTATTGCACACTCTGTTATGTGAGAAAATATTGAGAAAGGCTCTTTTTCCCTGTGTATGTCAGTGGCTCCCAGTTCATGAGAACTTCAGCTAAGATCCGTCTTCCTGATGACTGCACTGTGGGCTTTATTGTGGAAAAGCGACTGGGAATCTCCATGGTCCACTGTCCTTTATTCCACTCACACCTGGAAAACCTGCTGCTCATCAGCCAGAGAAGCATACCACAGCAGGTAGTAGCAGGCGGTTTTATACACAGGTGTCCAAGCAAATGCACTTCTTCCTACTCTCATGTGTTTTCTAATCTGCAGGTGACACTGAGCTATGGGATATTCGAGAATAAGATGAACAGCATCGAGGTAAAAGGGAGCTTCTCGAAGGAGGACGATCCCTCCAGGTTTGTTTCTCGCAATATTCATTCGTAAATGAGGGGTACTAAGAAATGTGTCCTTGCTGACATTATTGTGTTTAGTGTTCCACTGGCTCCCTTTGCACATAAATGACATAACATTAAAAAAACATATGTCGCTTTTAAAGACTAATGGATCAAACTCTAATTATTGTAGGATTTTCATGCGGCTTGGTTTTAAAGGCTTATTGGGTGCCAAAACCACTACACGACAGGTTATAATACTCACATAGTCTAAAATGATCATGAGTGCAACTGCGATACTACATAATGACCAAAAACTGAGCATAAAAATCCAGGTCCAGGCACTGGAGATAGAGTGGATCATGTAAGAAGAGCTCTGTATCTCTGTGTGCTTGTGCTTTTTTCTCAGCGTGAATACAGTGTCTCTAGGCATTTTATTGCTTTTTCAAAGTACCTGAGTTCTCTTCTTTCATTTTTTGGTTGCATTTTCCCCCCCGTATTTAGTAGAAGTAATTTTTAACTACACAAAGCAATTTTGAATATGTGTTTGGCCAATTTAGCAGGGTTGTGTCACAGTAATGTTAAGGTTTGTTTTGCAGGACAATGCCTCACTCCTTGAGCAGAGCATTACATTTTAACCTCTGTCCTATGAATGCCAAGTACGTGTTTTACAAACAGCGCTCCCCTCAGAGTCTGCAAAAGTTACTGCACCCCACAATATGACCCTACTGATGTGTGAAAACAGCATAAAACATGAGCGTTACTAAGACCATTCAACAGATGAATGCTGTATGATTATGCAGTGTAGTGCTGCATAATGTCTAGCAGCTTCTCCCCGTGCATTCTTTTTGCTCTTGGACTCACTAAAAGTTCAGTATCTTGCCCGAGGAGGCAATCAGGGATCAACTTGCCGGCCTTCCTGAGCCACTGGATGCGTCACTTATTCAGACACATGGGAACAGGTTAAACGGAAGAAGATGGGGGTTTGATGTGAAGGTCACAAAAGAATCACAGGTCAAGGACACGCGTTATGAATTATGGTTCCCAGGGACAACTACAAACCCTGTGGTCCAGCAATGTTTCGTTACAGAAAGAGCAGCCCAGATTTAGAAGTAAAAGTGCCTCTAATCTAAAAGCACAGGAGCACTAGTATCAGGGAAGACTCGACTCTGTGCTGCAGTTGCCTTAAAATCTGACTGAAGTGTATCAAAGCAGTAATGGGCCTCATTTTGACCTGATGGCGATATCTAGCAGAGGGAATCATGAAAAGCTCCAGGATTTAGGACATCAAATGCACATAACAAATGACACGTCATTTGTTTAGCCTTCAGGTTATTATTTACCTTATCATACCAAATTGCCAAGGGGAGACATAATGTCTGTCTACAAAATGCTCACAATTAAATATACCAAAAAATATCGATATTGTGTGATATTGGACAATATCGATATTGTTACTGAGAATGGAAAAACGACTTTCTCCACCGCAAAAAACCCCTAAACAATTAATAAAATAAGATAAATATGTAAAAAATACTGTAAGTGTTTTATAATTATTATAATTTTAGGCTTATGCATTTATTGTGCGTCTTCAGTGATAAAGCTCTTGTTTACTAAAGGTATTTGCTGTAGAAATCTCCAGCTCCAATCTCCAGTTTTCAGTTTTGTCTCTCATGATCTTACGTTAAGGCATGACAGCCCTCTGGCTCCAGTTGATCTTGTTCTATCTTCACTCCAAGATAAAAGCAATTTGATGTAACACAATGGAACAACAGATGTGTTTGTCTTTTCCGGTTTCCTTCATCCTCAGCTGTAAGAACATATCACCACAAATGCTTCACAGTGGCATTTCCATTTGCTCCCATCCTCTGGTTTAGTGCACGGTTGTGTTTGCCCTCCCTTCAGCCTGAGAGGAGTAGGTCACAGGTTCATCTGTCTGTACAAAGGCTTGAACTGTATATAATGGAAAAATGGTGTTTTTCCTGCCAACTGTTAACAGACAAACTAATGGTTCATTCACACAAGTTTGAACTTGTATGTTAGGTAATTTATATATATAATATCAATATATTCTGGCAATGTTTCCTTGCAACTAAGAAACATTTCAATTCTGCTGGTTACCATGGCTTTATTTTGGTTATTGGTTATTTATTTAGCTTATATTCCAATATAAAAGCAGGGTTGCTGATCTCCTAAGTCATTTTGCGGTTAACTCACTTCTCTCTGTGTTGGAATTTCTTTTGTTTCAAATCTTTGAGGTTCAGGCTGCACTCTGAATATAAGCAGCTAATGCAATTTTCTGTTTAATATGAATTTCTTTGTATGCACATGGCAACAGATCTGCAGGTCTTGCTGATTCGTTGCCGTTAATTGCCATATTATCACAAACAGATTGCATGTAATTTCCAGCTTAACAATATTCAGTTGCAGACTGATAAATAAACTGACTCCATCTTACTTCTGTTTTATCGCCGTCCTGACACACCAGAATTGTTCTGCAGACTTGGTCCCTGCTTCGGAGCAACCATTTCAAAGACATGCAGGGTCATTGCAAACAGTCACAATAATTTTGGTCCTGCTGTCCAGCTGTGGTCTCCAAACCCTGTTCTCCCTTGTGCGACTCTAGCTCAAAGGGGCCAGAACATAATCTCTTTTCTGGAAGTAAAAATAAATAATAGGAAAATATGAAATTATTAATGGATAATTGCACAAGATATTCATCAGATGCCCTCTAGTTGACATTCTGCAGTTGCTGTTAGATGAAAGTACAGAGCCACAGATAAGTGTTTACACATGCAAATCAACAGACGACCCAGCGCACCGTGCATACTATAAATACCCAGTTTTCACCTTTATAACATTAATGAGCAGCACTGTAGATTTAACTTTGTCAAGTGGGGCTGACTTTCATGAGCCTGCTTTTTCTTAAAAATGTTTATATACATCTTAGCCAGAATACAGTTTTGACTTTCAATAAGGAATTAACTATGTTAGTGTAATATTTATTTATTAATTTTATTTATTAATCTCAGCACTTTAGGACCCACTGCTTTATCACACTGTGAATGAGGAGCATAACATTTAAGAAACACAGATGCTCTGCTGTAATCTTTGCTGCTGTAGATATTTGTGCAGGCCATTTTTGGTATTTAATAGATAGATTTCAGAAGTTCCCATTCCCAGAAAAGAATGATAAAAGTAAGGATAATAATTCACACACGTTCTTTTCCAGGTGATTTGTTTATTGTCACCAGTGGTGAGTTGATACCTATTAAATCATTCAGCTTTGTGCACACACAGGGAAATGTGTGGAAGGAGCCAATAAGATTCAGTGCCTTACTAAAAATAATAATTCCAATAGGTGTCACCCAGTCCTTTAGAGAAAAAGCCTTCCCCCCCCACCATCATTAACAATAGCTGTTAACCACCTCTGAGTTATTAATCATGACTTATGTGTTCTGCAGGTTTAAGACTGTCCACTGCATCCTGTATCCCCTCACCAGCTGGTGTCCATGAGTACCCCCTAAAGACGACCACATCCAAGCACCTGAGACAAAGCTGGTATCCAGCTGAATGTAATATTTTACCTTTACCTGCAGAAAAATGGACCGATTCATTTTGGTGGAGCAATTCTGGATGCAGAAGGAATAACGGTGACTCAGACTTATCTGTGTTCCACAACGCCTCACCTACCACTGATCAACACAGACTGTAAAAGAGGGATCTAGACATCTGTTTTTGGACTTCCATTCCGAAGACATGATTTAATGTTTGGCCATTGTTGTGTTCGTCTTTTAGAGCCACAAGAGAAGAGGGTGAAATTCAGAAATTAGGCGCTAATGTAGCAAGCTTAGTTAGCAAGGCTGGTCCACTGAGTCTATAGGAATTTCTTTTACTTATGTATTAATCACATTATTTTATTGTATGATGCCTTGGTGCCACTGGATTTTTAAACATGTTTCACACTCATACTATAAGACAAATGGTGGGGGTCTAGTAAGGAAGTTGAGGGAAGCAGACAACTCCACAGGAAGAATCTTTTGTAAACATTGGGAGGGAGCAAGGGAGTGTGAACCTTAAAGTGTGAAACAGCTGTGTACTGCCTTTTGTTCTTGAAGAAGGTATTTAACTGAGAGCCATGTTAGGCTCAGGAGACTCTGCTGACCGTCTGCCCCGCGATCATGCAGGCTCGCCACAAGCTTGGGTTTTTATGTTCTTTGAGTTTTTGATTAAAGAATGTTAGCTACCGCTCACCGCTCATCTGCAGGCTTTATTTAATGGAAAACTTCCACAACAGAGTCTATAGCTGAGCTGCATAGACGCAGATACTGGTTATCTAGTGTTAAGTAACATACAGATGAAATACTAAATTTTCCCTCAGCAAAAATGTCTTGGATTTATTGAACCACAAAGCATCTTACATCTAAGATAACTGCAATTAAAATGCTACAAGAGGCACTATTGCCACAAATACAGGTGAAGGGTCTAGGTCATCGAATCAAATTAGCTGATGTGAAGTCTTGGAGACAGCTAGTTGCATAGCTGTCAGTTATTAATGAGTGGATGCTCCTGATAGGACAAATGTTAAGCCTTAAAAAAATTTAAATGATGAGCTAGATAAAAATTCCACTGCAAAGCAGTTTTTATAAATGGGAAAAGAAACTCTAGGCACAAAAACTGCCCTTGTTCAAGGCTGTAAACCTGTTTATGTGGTATTTTAACACGGGAGTCTGCACGATTTTCGAGCCAGTTTTTCAGCTTCTTTTTGCACAGCGCAGTGGTTTCATTTTCAGATGTCATCTGCTGACAGCACCAGCTGTTATGCACTCAAAACATTGGCTTTAGAAAAATGTATGAAATACGAAATTTATTTTTCTACTTTAAATCTGTGTTATGTTCAAATGAAATTGTTACAAGAAATGAAAGGAATTTTATGTGACAAATGAGCACTTAAGATTATTGTGGATTTTGGTTGTTGTGTGTGCTGAGATCTTTTGTCATTTTGCTGGCAAGTGGGAAAAATTAAAATGTTAAAGACTCACTGTGCAAAGTTGAAATTGTGTTTACCTGTTTTTCTAATTTCTTTGTTATCACTGGAGGTTAACGATGATTAAAATGGCAAACTTTACCTGGAAGACCTAAACTAACCTCAGGTGCTGCTGATGCTCTGTGACTTCATGAAGGAGGCTCTGTCCTTGTTCCTGTGAAGTCTGCACAGAATGAACCATCTTGACCCACATCTTCCTACTCTTACTTCCCCCCCCCCCACCCCCACCCCTCCATCTGTCCCTTCCCTCTATGTGTTTGCTCAGTCTTCTCCACAGTTGTTTTTCTCCTTGAAAACTGTAAGAAAAATGAGTAAAATAACTTCCTACCCAATCGGTCTGGGTCACTTTTCTCTGCTTTAGATTTACAAAACAACAAGAAACTGCTTGAAGTATGAAAAAGATCACAACTGACACGGCTGCCAAGAAAGAGAAGCTCACATTTGCAAGCAAATCTCTTCAAGCTGGACAGATCAGGGGTTGAATGCAAATGTCGCTATGATATACACACAACCAAATGTTGTTGGAATAAAAGCCAGAGGCCATACATGCAGTACCTGCAGAGAGATGACACCGCGCCGCTGGCTGCCCGCGGGTTGCTTGTTTGCTGTGAATGGAGATGTGATGAATACAGATATGCCGTTGAAAGTGTCTGGGACTGACCTTCTGTGAAGTGGATGGAAAAGTGTGACTGTGTGACTTTAACACATCTCCAGGAGAACGCTGAGACCAATCTGTTTCAAGTAAACAACCTGAGCATTTCAATGCAGACTGAAAGTTCTCTCCGAATGTAAAATCAATTTCCCACAGTGGCTACAGAATGAGGGATTTTTCTTTTTATGCTCTTCAGAGCGGTTGTGGTTTATTAAATGAGAACAAAGATGATGAATAGTTTTTAGAATATGTGTGACCAGTAACCCTTGACTGAGTTAGTGGTATAGTCATGCGGTGAAGGTGATCTGAATGGTTGGTTGGGGAGACATAGGTCACAACCCAATGAGACAGCTGGTTCTCTCTGTATTTGAAAAACCTACAGCATCACGAGAGAGTCCATCCTGCGAAGATTAAAGCAGTGCACTTGTGGCCAAACTACTGTGGCTTTGCTATTAGGTGTGAAAGCTACATTTAACTTAAAATGCTGGTATGAATTAGTTATGACACAATACAAATACACGCTCATTACATATACTGTTTGATTGTTAGCAACGGTTGCAGCTGTTCCATTCTATAACTCACTGACCAGAATGACTGAATTTAGTCAGTGATTGATGGTGAGAGGACCAATGCTAGAGGAGTACATCTGCATGTCTGTGCCTTTAATTACACAGCATTGTTATCACTATGGTATAATACATAAAATCATATATAATCATATTTGATTCACAAAGTATTTTTATTGTAATAAAAAATGAATAAGAAAGTTTATTTGAAAATAATGAAGTTTAGAATCGGTCATTTCATATTAGAGCATAGCATGCATACCATAGCATAGCATATCATAGAATAGTATACCATTCCATTGCGTATCATAGAATAGTATACCATAATATAGCATAGCATCGCATCACATCGCACAGCATCGCACAACATGCATATCATAGCATAGAATAGTATACTATAGCATAGCACAGCATATCAGTTAAAATATGCTTCTATGGTGAATCCACAGTAAAGAATAAATCAAAACAAAAACAATTTATAAGGAATAAAATGGAGGCAAGATCAGCATGTCACAGATATGCAGCCTATAATAACATTTATAGCAGTATATAAGTAAGTCTTTAGTGATCAATACAATGATCAATAAGAAGAAGATACTGCGAGTCAGAATTCTCCACTACTTGGATCATTCCACTACAGAGTAGCCCCTAATAGCACATGTACCGCCATCTTTTGTCTTTAACTATGAGGTGTGACCTGTTAGCAAGTTCCTGTCAGAGGATCTCACACTGAGCCCCAGTTGGTACATGGATAACAGTTCCAGTATGTCTTCTGAAACCAGGCCATTAGGGACTTTAAAAGTAATTATCAAAGATGATTTCTTAAACAAATCGAGAGCATGGGCAGAGTCATTACAAGTGACTTAATATGTTCACTTTTCTAGGTTCTTCTGAAAAGTCTTGCTGCTGCATTTTGAACAATTTGAACACTATTCACTGACTTCTGATAGATATCTCTTATAAGATCAGTACAGTAACTCAGCAAAAATAAAAGCATGAATCACAGTCTGAATTCATTCAGTATAATAGCAACATCAGGGAAACTTTACATTTTTTAAAACATTTTTTTATTAACAGTAAATCAGTAAATTATCACGGCTGCACAGCAGTCGTGTGGTGTATTGAAAAAAGGATCCAAAATGCAGGTACCGGCTGGGGTGCGAGTGAGTGTTTATTTACAGCGGTGAGAAGGTGACGAAACAGGAAGAGCAGAGCGGGGAGTAAACAAACCTAAACTGGGAAAACTAAAGAACAAAACTTAAACCAGACACTCACGGGAGGAGGAGCGAAATGCACAAAGAGAGATGGCAGAGAGACGCAGAATGAATACCAGGTGACAGAATAATGCAGACTGACATGGAACTAAACAGACGACGCGACAGAGAGCACAGGAAAACACAGGGCTTAAATACACGGGGAGTAATCAGGGAATGGGCCACAGGAGGGAGACACAGCTGGGAGCAATAAGGCTAACGAGACAGGGGAGAGGTAAAACTGAACACACTGACATGAGACATGAACTTTCAGAATAAAACAGGAAACTAACAGACACAGAGAACCAGACCGGACACTGAACTTGACAGGCAGACTCATGAGCAGACACAATAACACCATGGACAGACAGAGGGAACACAGAGAAGTGGAAGCAGGCAGGCAAAGAACAGAAACCTAACAAATGGCAAAATCACAACAGAATACACACTCTGAATGAACAAAAGCACAAGGAACACAAAACACTCAGACTCAGGACCATGACATAAATAAACTCTGGTTTTCATGAAGTGTAAACATGGGCTACTGCAGTATAGTATAGAAGGAAATTGCCGTCCCGGGTTTCCTCCGTGGCGTGAGCGATAAGCAGAGTTTTGTCCTTTCCTTCTAAGATTCCTAATTATTTAAAGTAACACTCAGGTATGCCGTTCAGCTGGGTTAGTTACAGTGCCGGGAGCAGCTTGGGAGAACAAGGAAACACAGACTGCTTCAGGTTGCCTTCCCAAATCAACTCAAAGGTTTATTTGATACACAGCAGTTTATATAGATGAAAAAAGGTTCGTGTGTCAGCTTTCCCAGTTCAAACCGGTACAGACCAAATAAGGAAACGTCTTCCTGCCTTCTGAGCAAAGTATCCCTTGTGTAGTTTATCAGTTCAGCTACAATTTATGATCATCCCAGCAAAATACACTCCTAGACATAGAATACAGAGTTCTTTCATCAGTGAATTCTGAAACAAACCACCTAGCCTTTAACGAGCCTTTTCCAGGAGATAAAGAAAAAGGGAGGATGGGAGTAAGGAAGTGGTCTCATCTCTGTGGTGTTTTCGACCTTCTGGTACCAGCTTGTGAGTCTCACATTAATTCTTGGGTCACAGAGAAAGAGAAAAACAACTAGTAGATTGGCCTTATTGAGTAACAGTTTTCCTGTATAAAACAATATCCTGTAAATGCTTACCGTGGTATCAAAATATCATAACAGTTCTCCCCTTTTATCATGAAATGATAACATAGTATAAAGACAGAATGTAATAACATAATATAAAGATAAATCATAAATGTGAAACAAATCATAAATGTAACTAGTCCTTCGAGTGAGCTTAATATCAAAATCTTAAAAAGAAGAAAAGAAAAAGAAGAAAACGTCATCCTCTTCTTGAACAATCGAGTAATTCACAATCTAATGCTCAATACATACATC